CTGTATATAAACAGAAGCCCACGCACGGTCGACCCACACTTTGCCACATGTCGTGAAACGCGGCCCTCGTGCACCCTGAAAAACTATTTTCGACACCGAGCATTGTGTATACGCGAACTCCACACCGCCGGAAACCCCTGTTTTACGCGCGTAAACATATTGCCGGCCTACATGCGCCTCGACATTTATCCAACTACACAAGAAATTCCTCTCGCTGCAACCCTTTCGTATTCGAGTGAAACCTAAGGGTCGATACTCTTATCTAATGTTTCCAGAATTCCCTCAAACGTTATTCGCATCAGGCTGAAACTGTCTTCGAGTACTTCACCTAAGCGCACCATCCACCAGGATGGATCAAAAAGAAAAGAAAAGAAAAGAAAAGAAAGGAAAAGAAAAAAAAAAGGGCAATGTTCAACAGCGTCGGTGTTGTTCCACGTTCTGCAGCATCATTCCTCATCCGGTATATATCAACGTCGATCTTGCTGGCGTCGCATTCTGAATGAAAGCACGTTCGAACGACCGTACGTATACGAACGGACGGACAGATGGACGGTCGACAGGGTCAACGTTCCCTTCCCTTCAAGGACGGCCAGAGGAAAGTCGAAGAACAGTCGAGCGAGACCAGCATGCTCGAGAGAAAGAAAGATACCGGATGGTAAGGTGGACAGCGGACACACAAATTTTCACCGCGTTAATTGTATAATAATCGTGGCGAAAATTTCACCCTTTCCTTCTTAATATTGCCTCGATTAATCAATTTCTAAAGAGAAATTCTTACGAGAGTACTTGGACATCGTGTCTCCGTATTTATACGGTTTTCCTTCCTCCCTGTCAACGTTCCTTTTTTTGTCGTTACATCATGATATACGGAAAGCGTCGTCAATTAGGCAATTAATACGTGTAACTTGTCCGCCGTTATCGGTCGACTGGATTAGTTTTATCCGATATTGATATCGCGATCCAGTAGTGTGTGAAGAAAAAACAAGAAAATCCGGGCACGTAGGTCAGCATTTCGTAACACTTTATTCTAGATTCTCATATTCATTTTTTTCTCCCCCAGTTGTTTGACCTATATGTGTTTCTCTATCGCCAGGGAACATCTTGCCTCTTATCTCGGAAACATTTTTCACGAATTGCTTCGATAAATAAATAATGTATTGGTCAGCTTTTCAGCATAGAAACGAATCTAGCTAGCCAGAAAAATTGTAGAATTATCACTGTGGGATTTTCTCAGACATTGGCAAATGATAATCACAAGAAGCTGACTATGTATATACAAATCTGAATGATTTTCTAAGCTAAAGTTTCGATCGTTTCGTTTTAGCATCGATATCCGGCCGTCTGAAACCAGTTAACGTTCCCATCGCGTTCGTATTGCTCGAATTTAATATTCTCCATCGAGTTCCCAGCCGTGTATCGAAAATTATAGTCGTCGCTAACGACGGAGGGGAATTACTTTGATGCAGTTTATTGCCACCAAGATATCGTGTGTCGCGATCAATTCTCCCGAAGATTGACCGGAAGTCGCGGGAACACCAAGATACCAGGCTGGATCGTGAGCGTTTTAATTGACGATCAGAGCTTTCGATTCAATTTCATTCGGTTCAAGGTTCAATAAATTATCCTCTCTCCTACGATTAATTAACACGTTGATTGTCACCGTGGAAATACGGGATACGACAATTTAAGTTATAAATCTATTACCTCGCGTTAAGAATTTTTTTAAATTGTTAATCTTATAAAGTATTTACTTCCTAATACATAAAAAATAAAAAAGAAACAAAAATTCGTGGTTAGAAGTAGAAACATTGATCAGCGAGGAGAAGGAGCGAGGCAACGGGAAGAACGAAAAGAAAAGCATTAAGAAGGATGAACAGGGAGAAGTAGAGAGGCGATCGGGCAGACCGGATATGACGCGACAGTACATAACGATGATCGTAGATTGCGTTCACTGCTTGTGCAAAAGCAACCGAGCAAGCAGGAGGCGAGTTGATGAAACGATGACGAACTGGGAGGGTAGAGTGGCAACCGTACAGAGACAAGACAGAGAAATGAGACACGACGAAGAAGTGAAACACGGTTGAAAACAGAGAGACGGAGAGAGGCAGAGTTAAGGAGAGGAGATGAAAAACCGAGGAACGAGAGATAACGGGGTTGGCAAACACGAAGATAGCGTTACAGACAGGGAGAGAATGGAACTTTAGCAAAGGATGCGAATTTATACGATTTAATTTAACAGTTAAGGGCTTGCACCTAGGTGGGTATAGTTTGCCAGAAAGATACTTAATAGAATCCAACAAAATTATTTAAACAATTATCAGGCACTCCGTTTCAAAAGCTGCTTGTGACAATCGCGAATCGTGAAAAAATGCAACAATATCCTTAACATTCCAGCGAATGTCGAATTTCGCAACTGTATCAATATTGCGAAATTCTCGAAGAAACAGAAGGAATTTATTTTCATCGAAAATACGTGCGTTATGGCACGAATACTTATTTCGATGAGAAGAAAACGGAAGCGTAGAAACCACGAGTGACGATTAAATTTCGCGTTAATCACAGGCATCCTATGAACAAATGATAATTGTAAGTCGAAAGACGAAGGATGCGTTATTTAAATGCCTACTTGATGAGTTGAACGCGATATATGCAACACACCTTGCCACTCCTTTCGCGACTTTGCTTATATTCTTTCCATTCATTATTCCGGACACATCTGTCACCTCAAGGACACCACCGAGTCTTTCAACAGAGATCATCAAATGCGTTTGCAGAGTGTCAGCACACGTATTATAAGAAATGCAGAAGAGAACGTTATTTGATTTTTAACCCGCGGAGTCAAATTGACTCGAAATGAAAATATAATATTTAATAGTTTCTTAACAAAATATTCTACTTATTGCTTCGCAACGTTTGAAAACAATAGGTGGAAAAACGCAGCATAGATAAATAAATGTTCATCGTGGATGAGTCAAAGACAGTCGAGTCACCTATCCATTCGCTATGCAAAGTAAATCATGCTTCCATTCATGCCAGAACTGCCACACGTGTGTATCGGTGTCATGATGCTCGCGAAGCCTGTCGATACCTTGCCACACAACTCGTACACAAACTATACCTCTACAAGTTGCTCGAAAAATCTATCACCTACATAACATTTTAACGCTATACGTTAGATTGCAAATAAATTCTCTACATTTCTATGCGTTAGGCTTCAAAATGACTCGAGTTGCATCGAACGATCAGTCATAAAATTGTAATTGTATCCGTGCAACACGATTGTCCTCATTCACGGCTGCACATTTCGGAATAAGATTACACCAGCTGCTCGACGATATCTAATCTACGATCAGATATCAAAGTTACGTGTGTCAGATCTTATATCCTAGTACACTGTGACTAAGCCTTTCGAGTAAACGATTGAAACTTTCCAAACATCGATCGTAATATCGCTCTCGATTCATCGTTCCAAGGTACGTACGCGTCGTAAAGAAATATCTTACGTTCCTAAACTTTGTTAAAATCGGTTAAATCTGATTGAAATCAAGAAGGAATAGATTCGAGGTTATCCTTGTCAGTGATTTCCAGGACACCCAGTGTAGTATACGCAAGAAACTTACGTGTACACGTTGACGCAGGCGCGCCAGCTCCGCCAGGTACGTCAAACCGAATGGCATTCATTCCTACTCGCGTTCGAAGAACGAATGAGGCGCGTGTGTTGGTGAGAAATCGCGCGCGGCCGTTCGCGCTCGTATTCCGCCTCGCGTATTCTACGCTGAACGGAGAAAGAGAGAAAGGAAAGCAACGACAGGATTAATTCAATTACCGTCTGAAAGTTTTCAATTAAAACGACGATAAATCATTTCGTTCGCTCGAAATCGTTCGAGCGTCGCGTCGGTCTTATTTTGTACGGAGACAAAAGTTACACAGCGATGTTCGGTGGCAAACGCGGTAATCATAAAAGACGATAAGAAGTGTACAGTTAACGTAGGTCTGCGAAACAACACGGACGGAGATAAAAGAACGATAAGAGAAATGTTTATTTGAAATTCTGAAGAAAATCGTAAACGGTACCTTGTGTTTTCGTTTGAAATTTAATTGAACGTGTAACTAAGGGATCACGATTCTCATTGTAAGAACAGGAAATCGATAAGGATAGGGTTAAAACGGTGAAAGAATGAACAGCTGGGTAGATTCGTATCGGTGGTTACGAACGGAAATGTGGGCACGACTTTCTCGCAAACTTTCTACACCAGTAAATTTCATTCACTACTTCTGGCCGTGGCTTCTATGAAAGCGTAATGTGACTCAATACCGTGGCGAGTCACGCTCGCCCGATCTCGCCGATTGAAGTTAGCACGAAGCCAGCCAGCCAATCGTCTGACCTCGCTCCTTTCTGAATCGTCAGCCACGTGAAAAACAACTTTGCGCGCCGACCGCTCAGCTGAATTAATGCTGAATGACAGAGATTCTCCAAACAAAAGAGGAGGGAGTGAAATACATGAGCTACGTGAACGATACGACTAGAACAGCGTTTCTCAAACTATTTCGCAACATGTACAATATCTAACTCACCATTTGATCACATAAAAGTATCGGAAAATACCACTTACGATATATCATTTTAAAGCTTTACGTCGATTTTATTACTTTTAGGTTATAAAATGACGGCAGACTTTCTATGTTTAGAAATCCGTCATATGATATGCAACAATTCGATTTGTTTTTTTTAAACACAGGAAGCGTTCGATGCTACCACCCGATACGAAGATTCCATTATCTGACGACGTACCTGATATCATAACGATTTTTTCAATGAAAAACCCACGAATATCGATCGATTCTGTATGGTTGAGATATTTATCACGCAGTAAGATACGAAAAGCTTCGTAAAATACCCCCCAAAGGTAAGAAAGAGTTGAACTATATACAGTATCGTTTGACCGATAAGGAGTAAATTGTAAGGGACAATTGAAAAGAAATAATTATTGCGAACTTACCGTTTCGACTAGGGGGCCGTGGAGGCGCAGGATACTGGGGCGGCGTCAAGGGTGGTGGCGGCTGCGGCGACACTCGCGCAGACGAAGAGGTCGTTGAGCCTTGGGACACGGACGGCGCTGGTACTAGCGTCGTTGTCAGTGGTGTCGTCGACGTGGTAGTCGTCGTAGCCGCCGTCGGTGTCAGCGAAGACGTGGTGGTGATGGTGGCGGTGCGCTGCCCGATGTACCTCGAGGCGGTGCTGCTCGGGCTGTTGGACGGCCAGGGCGGGCGCCGCGGTGGCAGCACCGGGGGCGGCTCGTAGTCCAAGGTATCCACACTTTCGGCACTTCCGTTTCACCTGTACCCTTCACCGAACCGCGAATCTACCTTTTTAGCTATTAGATCTCGCGCCAGTCTTCGAAAGGCACGTCGCGCACAAATTTCATTAACCAAGGCGGACGACCAAGAAGCGAGATTCTTTTGAATTTTCCTTTTCCTTAATCTTCTTCACAGTTATTCACTTCCTTTTCCGCGAAATCGCGCGCGAACACACTCGCGGTTTACGTTCGAGTCGAGAATTAAAGAAGGGGGGGTGGCGGCGGTTGGTGGTTGCAGCTATGGAGAAGGGAGCAGCAGCGTGATTTCGAAACTCCCGGAATCTCTTATATTTCTCCTTTCTCTTACTCGGCTCTCTCTCCTCTCTTTCTCTATTTCTTCGCACTGGTCACGTCACAACACGTAAACACATGCTCCGGTATGTATACCTTCTCTATATATACACACGTTATTACGGATTTGGCGGGCGTCGATAGAACGTAACAAGAAACTTGGTCGGGCTAATATCCTCTCGACGTATTATTCGATCGTTGAGGTGTGTTTTGGTGGTTAGGAACGGAGAGCAAGTAACGCGGCGGCACAGTGGCTCGGACGTAACAGCCTCGCGAGTAGTCGCGAGAAAAACACAGCAACGACGAGAGGAGACGAAGAACTGAGACGGGACGGTTCTTCGGATAAGACGAGGAGAGAGGAGGAGGGGCGGAGTTAGCCGAGGCGTGGCGAGGCGAGGCGAAACGAGACGAGTCGAGTTGAGTCGCGATGAGGTGAAGCGAGGTAAAGAGACTCGCGGAGAGAGGAAGAATGGTGTAAGGCGTAAAGCGTAAGGCGTAAGGCGTAAGGAGTAAGAAGTTGCGGAGAGTTGAAGTGTTGGCGGTTGAGGGGGACAGATCGGCGAGGAGAGCCGAAGGGTTGAGTAGCAGGGAAAGGTGAGGCAAGGCGAGGTGTGGCGAGACGAAGCGAGTCGAATCGAATCGAGTCGAGTCGAGCCGAGTCGAGTCGAGTCGAGAAGAGTCGGACCCGAGACGAGACAGAAGGACAAGATCGGTGAACACACTGCGCGGGATTCTTCTCGCACACTGGCGAACACGCACGGCTCTCTCTCGTGGCAACGATGCGCTACTCTCGTCTCTCTTTCTTTTCTCTCTCTCTGTCCGCTACAGGATGCGTAGTCGAGCGAGAGCGAGAATCGGAGAAAGAGAAGGCACGAGAGAACGGCGATTAGCGCGTGCGGACGAGAGAGAGAGAGCGCGAGAGAAAGAGAGCCGGACTGAATCTCGCGTAGGCCGTCTGCCAGTAAACAGGCTCCTTCATTCACTGCTTATTTTATACGGGCGGCCCCCTATGCTCCACAGAAATAGCCACTTCGCTCTGTCCTTGTCCGGCACACATGCCACGGCCGGATATGCCTTTAGCTCTTCGGTAGATCTTCCTTTCTCTCTCTTTCCCTCGTTCTTGGCTCTCCTTTCTCTCGCACTCTCGCATTCGTGTCACGCGGCTCGCACCTCGAACAACAGTACTGCTCTCCGTGGAAAAGCAACGAGTAGGAGGCTCTCGCTGGTATTCTCCTTCTCGCGCATCCTTCTTTTCCTCTTCCTCGATTCGTTTATCCTTCGTGTCTTCCCGATCGATGCTTCCCTTTATTCTTCACCCTCCGTTATTCTTCCGTCTTCTGTTTGCCGGTGCACGAGACACTGCTACACTCTGTCACTGCCAGCAGCACCCCGCGACTACGATGCCCGACAGGTGCGTCACGATCCGCCTCGTCGCCCTTATCCTTCGCGATTGACACTCTTTTTAACAGTCCTTGATAACGTCTATTTATCACTTCTCTCGTACACTCTTTCGACTGTCTCGCGGCACGTTACTATTTCCTGCGATTCATCAAAGATAGTCTGTATTTTTTTTTCTCACGATGCACGCTTTTCTACTCGGTACGAGTTACTCCTGCATCGGATCTCGCGAGCGTGTCTGCGGTTAAGTAGCAGCGTAAAGGGGTTTGCTGCTTGCGTTCACTGGTTTTCTCGAATGGCAAGCCTCCGCTCGATTTCCCCGCGATGGCTGGCAAACTGTGCGCACACTGCACACACCACATATACATGGAAAGGAGGTACCCACACACGGAGGCTGGGTATTCGTGGCGCACGGTCCTCTCTCGCGTTAAGCAGAACGGCAGAGAAAGAGAATCGGAACGAGTTGGATGGAAGGAAGAAAAAAGAGACGAAACGACGGGACTGCTATGGTGGAAGAGGAGGGGTAGTGAGCGCGAAGGAAGACGAAGAGAGAAACGAGGCAGGAAAGAAGGAAGGGAGGAAGAAAGATAGATAAAGAGGGTGGGAGCAACGATCGTCGTGCAAGAGAGAGAAGAAAAAGTTCAGCTGGCCTCGGCGGCCATGCCGGTGTAGATCGTGCGAGCGCAGCTCAGGCACGTACTATCCGGCCCGCGGGGCCACCACTCAACACGTTCTCTATTTTCTTGTCTTTTTCCTCTTGCTCTCCTCTTCTTTTCTACTCGCCCTCCTCTCGCTACCCTTTTTTCTCTCGCCTAAGATGTATTTCTGCAAGCTCACGTATAGAACATAATCTTTCCTCTTCTTCGTTCACTCTAACCTCTCTTCTTCTTCTTCTTCTTTTTCTTCTTCTTCTTCTTCTTCTTCTTCTGTTGCTCGTTTCTTTCACGTTCGCCCGTGTCGTCGTACCGGTCGACAGTCGAATCGATCTCGAAATCTCGTATCCATCGATATTCCTCTTTTTGTCACTTTCGATCGCACCCACTCGATCGCGACGTACACATCGTGCTTTCCTCGAAATATCGCAACACAGTCGAGACGCAACGAACCGGATAAACACGTCATACAACACCAATTCTCGAGCAAACGGTCAACATTTTTCTCTTTTCCCTCGGTTCTCTCGCACTGTACGATTCTTACGAAAACCACGTCTCGCGTGTTTGCCAGAGACAGAATCTAATAACGCGCACGCGTTCACTCACGGTTCATTTCCCCGTTTTCTTTCTTCTTCCTGTCTATTTGCGAACGGTACGTTCTTTTATTTATCTGAATAGCGTGGTTTAATATACCGTTCGTTTTCACAGCAGGAGCAGACGTCTCTCGTTTCGAGCCGAGACCGGCTGCGCTCGACGCTGGTGTGGCGTTCTAGACTCTCTGCTTGTTACAAACAGCAGAGCAGCGGCCTGTCTTTCTGTGGGTGGGGTGCGCACAATGCGCATGCGCACTCGATCATACCGAAAGTTGCATATGCGCGCGCTCACTTATACTCGCGTGATCGTTTACACGTAAACGCGAATACATACGTTCGGTCGCAACCTCACCGCCACGAAAGCACCGTGACGCCTGCGATCCCCCCTTCACGTTTCACCATGCTTCGCCATAGTGTACCGTACCCCGCGAGCCAGACGCGATACTTCATTCATGCTCGTATTGTGCGACCAGGGCTGCTTCTGTGCATCCAGGTCCCACGTACTTTCCACAAACTTTTCTATACGCCGTATACAACTTGTAATCCTTGATACCCCCGCACGATTCCTTACCCTCTCTTCATCTTATCGATTATCGAAACATACTTTTTTATTTTCATTCCTCGTGCGATCGCGATACGAACGCGATAATGCATGCGAGTACTGATATAGAAAAAAAAATTGTAATTAATATCTTGCAAGTTTTGCGAGAGGTTAACGTTCCCGATGGAATTATGTAGTTCGAATGATTTATTCATCAAAGAGAATGACGTTGGTTGCATTCGTATTCTCTGGCTGCTCCACAATGCTTGAAAAATCTTCGTTCAGGTGATCGAACGTCGTAAAACCGATACCCCTCTGTGTACTACGGGTTCTCCCACATGTCGGGGATACTCGGTTCTCTTCGTAAATGTCCGCCGACTACATCCTCTTTCGTCCTTGTCGTTCTTATTACACCATCCGTCGGTGCGTCCTTGTCGCACACGTTTCATCTCGCTCGATTCGTTTACACGTAAGTCGCACCGTAACTCTGTGCCTGTGCCACGTTATTTATGCGGCCGTGTGTGCGTGTTCCTCCTCCCACTCTCCCGTTGTACGCCAGACAGTGAGCATAAACCGAACCTGTCCTTCTCCTTTCCAGACTGGCCGTCTCTGTCCCGTAAGGAGGCAGCCGGGCACCCAGGCAGCGCGGCAGTTCGGGTATTAATCGGACACGCAAGTTTCGAATCACGAGCGGAATATTGTCAAGATAAATCGACGAGGCTCCTGCAAATAAAATTACCATAAATACACCGAGTTGCATCATGTCGTACTCTCTTCCTCCGTGAACGATTTCGAGGTTTGTCGCGTTACGACTATTTTCTCCTTCAGATTTTTATCAAATATCTTCTCCACTTGCTGTTTCCTTTTTCTTTCAAGAAAAAAAAATTTGTAAAAAGGATTAAATTGATTTTATGAAATGAATCGTTGGCGAGGAGCTTAGCTAGAGGTAGTAAGTACGTGGAAACCGGTTTTCGCGTAAAAATGCTACTGTTCTAATCTCGAATGCGAGAAGCGTGCGCGTTAAAAGCGTGATTAATTTGCGAATAATATTTTTCAATGAATTTAAAGTTTATCAATTACAACTCGAAGGGAGTAGAAAATGAATTGAAAATTGCAAAAAAAAAGAAGAAAAAAACACGATTAAGTAGATTCAATTGGTATGGCTGATTTCTATGCATGCAAACACCCGTCTAAGGAACATTCAAGGTTTCCATGAAGCGTTCGTTTCGTGGAAATGTTTGCTGTTTGCCTGTACACCGGATACATTGATTACAGCTACAAATTTAATAAAAATTAAAAAAAATTCAAGTTAAGATCGTATCAATCAAAATTGTGAAACTTATATAAAAATAAAAATTTCAATCATTCTGTGTCTAAGATACGTAGCTGTTGTTAATAAAAGATCAGGCGATTTACAAGAATGAAAACGGAAAAGATTGAAATCTAAATCAAATTTCTATCTAATCCATCAAGTATCAGAATACCTGCTTCTATTAAATTATATCTTCGGATCATTTTCAACGTTATCAAGAATCAGTTATAAAAAGAAAAAATGAATGAGAACCCGTTCTCATTCAAGTCGATCCTGATACTGATATATTTTCTACGCGATAGAACTTCCTTCGGTCGGAGATGCAATTGATAAGCAAACTAGATAACGAAGTAGAATGACTTTGCTGTTAATGTCACGTAAAGGACAAATCCAATTAACACGTTAATTGAGATAGTAGAAATAGCCGTACGCATCTAGCGCGGTACACAATAACGTTTCCATGTCTTTCATTATTTCATTTTGTCACCGATGCGATATAAACGATGATGTATTATAATAATATATAAGTGCGGGCGTGGCGAGGCGACTCGCGTGCACCACTTCCCTCAAGAGGATATCCGGTGTGGAAACGCTTCGTCCTACCTCTCCCTTCTTCTCGTTCTGACGCTGGAATCCCCCCTTTCCCCTCTTACATTCGATGATCACCTTTCCTAGCGTGATAATAGTACATCCTCGCGTATTTCTATCCGCCATTCAATGAACACGCGTCAGTTTCACCGTTTCATTAACGAAATGTAACTATCCCATTAACCCATTTGCATGATTCCGTTGAAATAATTCCAGTCTATCGCAACGTGTTGATTATTCTTTTTTGAAACATGATGCGTTACTCTTAAGTAACACGTTTGCATAAAAGGTTAAGAGAACAAGAGAACATTCGTCTCTGTGGATGACCATTTTCTTCGCCATTAGTGTTGAACGGTTGCAAGGGTTAATTGTCTAATTAACTAAGAGGCTCGCGCGATATCGAGCATGCAACACGCTTTAAAACAGCGAAAGTTACCCTCGTTTTTCGCCATTTTACTCTGCTTCCGTTTATTTGCTCTACATTGTTTTTCGTTTCTCGTTTCATGTCTACCCGTTACACTTTGACGTCGATCTGTTCCGTTCTCTTTGGTAATCGTTCCATTGCGAGCACATGCAAATGCAGGTACAATAACCGGACACAGAGAAATTTTCTTTTTCCTGGAAATCCGTGAAATCTACTTTACTTATCGTTGTTGCAATTGGAAAGATAAAAGTAATTGGTAGGCAAGAAAAATGTCTGAAGAAGGAAGGGAGGCTAATTTCGTTCTCACGATATCACGTTTACAGGGCAAGCAAACACCATCGAGGATATGTAGCCATGACGCAAATGTCTTGGACGGATCTAAATAGGCTTTATTTAACGAACAGGCTGAGAAACACTGGTTTTAGCCTATATTTAAACGGCGGCACGCCGCGTATCTTAAGCGCGTTCATTAATGCACTTAAAGTGTGCACGCCCGTTTAACCTTACGGCTGTTTACGCTTCCCTCGACTCGACGATTTGTAACCTACGACATACTAACGACACATTTCTCTCCCTTTCTTCCTTCTCTCTTGTCTTTTCGACTGACCTTCATTCAATTCTACCAACAAGAAATACTCGCACCCATTTACACCGAAGGACGCTCGTTAGACATTTTTTCATCAATTTTTTCAGAATATTGAATTTTTCCTTTCGTTGAAGATTATTGATAGAAACTCGTGGAACTTTTGGAAATTCTTAGAAACTTGATAGTGTTCATTAATGAGGCTTCAGAAACGTGAGATCTTGTAATTAATTCTATTGGTGGTGATGAGTATTCTTGGAAGTGACTTGTCTCGGAAATTTTTCAGTAATTTCATTATATCAATTACGTATTTCGGGTAATTTTTAGCAGTTTCATTGTTAAATCAATTTGCAACGAAAACAGTGTCTGAAAAAATAACTGAAATACCGTAACGACTTATCAAAAATCAAATATTTACAGCGGAATGAAATGTACGAATTAGGTATATTGATTTCTCGGAAGTGAAACGAGCAAACAAAACAGCTACGAAACACATCGTACTAGTCCAGCTTAACGAGGTTTATAAATACACCACTAATGACAAAATTTCAGGAAAAACAAATTATATAATACTTGGCAAGCGACGATACGTAATACGATACCGTAATTATTGATAAGAGAGTACATAGTAATACGGTAGTACCAACGCTCGATTCGCTGCAATAATTTTTCAAAATCTTTAGTAATAATAATTATTATAACCTTTTCTACTAATAGTAAAAATAATTAACAGTTAAGCTGAAATTGACCCGATTTCGTAGCTTCAACGGAACCATGCGCTGTGTTATCAATGTGCAATAAACGGGAGTAATGGTAAGTGTGAAATAAAAATGAAAAGTGTTGATGTACTTTCTACGTAAGTGTCGATAGAGTGGTTTACACGAGGTCATCATTCCCATCGCTAACTCACACGCAGCCACGTGTGTTGCGTATAGAGGCGCGAGGACAACCTGCAGATGCATGAATGACTCGAAATGACGTGTGTTCATTGAGCGCCGCTTGGCGTGCCGACTTGCTGCTCTCGGTTGCTCCCAGCAAGGACACGACATATTTTCTGACTCGTATTAGCAAAAGATTTGAACCGACTATTTACATATCTTAATAATACAGAAGAAAATATTGCGATTTAACATTTCGGACAAATGTGAATAATTACGCCGCGTTTACATTGCAATAATAATTATTCGGTATTCGATAGTTCCACCTTTGAAATTTAAACATTCCACCTTGGAAAATGAATAGAATATTGATGCTTCGTGGCAATGATCATCGGTGCTTTTCAGAAGATTCAAGTAAATTGAAATACGATTAATTATCATTTGATAATTTGATCGAACAAGTAGTTTGTTTGAATCTTTCGATAGCTATAACGAGCAGTATCGATGACTGTGGCGAGCGAGTGGTATCGACGCGAGGATGGCTTCAGGAGAGGGTAGAAGGGAAGAGGAAAGGTAGTTGGAGGAAATGAGCGCGCACACTTACGCTTACTCGCACACGTGAGCGTGTAGTAAACGCGTGCAGAGGCGAGCACATCGGTAAACCGATTAAACGACTTACATAAGTCCCGGTTCGACCAGCCACGTCCAAGACGCCTATGTATTAATGCCCCAGAAAGTTCATGCGGTTTTACAACGTTACAAACATCTATACATTTTATATAACATTTTAATACCTTTTCTTAGAGTCAGACAGACGATAGAGGTTGAATTGCAAACGCGCGTGTAAATCTAAGAAGCATTGAAAAATTTTACGAGAAATTTTCCAAAGAAAGATAAATTTTATCGTAGAAGGAGCAACTGAGGAGTTGACGATTGCAAAGGAATTATCTAAGCGTTTCGAACTTGTTTCTCCTTCTACTGTGTAACAAGTTGAGCGCACAGACCATTTCCTGTGCGCCGCTACAAAACGACGACACAGAGAAGCTTCGTCTCAGAGTTCGTTCGTTAATTAGATTTCAAACTGACCGATCTGGCCGACGCGGAGGAAGCGGAACAGTTATATCTACCATTACGAAGTTAATGAGACATCCTATCTTCCCGTGGAGTTTTAACCGTTTCAGTGCCACGAAGCATTGCTCTCGTTTCCTATCGAAAACTAGATGCCAGATCCTATTCACTTTCCTTACCGAGGGTTGCCATACGAAACGTTAAAAGAAACAAAAATATATGAAAAATTGTCACGAGTTACCGTGTGTCTTGTATCAAAAAGTTAACAAATCTTTCCTCGAAAACAGGAAAGAATGGTATTTGCTAATCAATCTTCATTAGACCCTCTTGACATTTCAACAAAAACAAAAACAGGAAGAAGGTTAAACGCTGATACACTCTATGTGCAAGCATCTTTCCTCTTTTTTCTTTTTTCTTTTTCTTTTTATTGTGAAACTTGTATAGTCTTTATTTTCGATCGCGATAATTCACTCGATTATCTTATACAAAGTGGGTACATATACAAAACACATGAGGCTCTCGTATATCATTTCCATTTTTCTTTTTCTTCTAATGTTATGGCATTCTACCTTTTTTGCATCCACCACACTCACACACAGAAGACACACTATTTCTCTCGTTCATTCGTTATCCTTCTTCTGTTCACTTATCTACACCTACTAACTCTTTCTGTCCCTCTTTCTGCTTCTTCCTACTCGCGCGATGAAACCGGAAACACGTCGGAAACTTTATGCGAGACACGCTTCTGATTCCACGAATCGATCGTGAATACCTGCCTTCACTCTTTGCTTTTATAACTAATAACGATTAAATCCCTGCTTCGTAATTATCGTTGTTTTATATTTTCTTCTGTTACACCATGCGATATGGTGCTGTAATTGTAATTAGTCAGATTACGATGGCTTCATTTTTCAATCTAAAACTTTCTTTTATCTTTCTTTCCTCGATGCATTCGCTGTCTTTAGAATGATATTCTAAACATGTTTGCCTGAAACCAAAAACGTAGAAAAAAAGAATTATCTTCGCGTGAAATTAGCCGGAAGAAGAGAAAGAGAGAAGACGGAAGTCCCTTTTGTCGTTTAAACAGCTACCGCCTCTTGTTCGTCTAACCATCTCTATGTACAGGGTGTTAAAAAGATTTTTCCTCCTCCACAGAAATTTGCAAAACTGAAGGTTAAAATTAATTTTTTAATTTTATTTTCAACTCTTGGACGGTGGATGTTGGGTCATTCAACGACCAATGATTAAGTTTGCGATTATAGTAAAGTGTTAATTTAACGATTGATTTTACTTTTCGCAAAACTAATGACTATTACTGTTTGAACACCCTGTACAGGAGGTACGGGACGAAACTCGTTGACTCGTCTCGACGGTTCGTTCAGGGATCGAAGAGTGGCCGGAAACTAGGAAACGCTGAGCACTTCCTTTCGCTCAGCGTATCCAATGTAGCTATTGAGTTGTGGATCATTGGTCGTAATAAAATTAATTCGCAAGGCCCCTCTTTTTCCTTCTCTGTTATGCTAATTTCTGGATATTCAGCCCGAGACACTGCGACGTTTCTATGGAGATAAACCAGAGCGGATATATTTTATTTTTTATCTTCTTTCATAAGACCTTTTGCGTTCAAGTTTGAAATGGATTTTCTTTTTTTAAAACAATACAAACATCGGTGTTAGAGATAAGATATATGAGAGTACAGCGGATTAAAAAATATACGCAAAAGATCTTATCCCTTTTTTTTTCATTAATCTCCTTTTCCGTTTTCGAAAATATGTACTTGGATTCGTGGAACACTTACGCACTATCGAACTGTTTATCGCGATATATATTTCGCCGGTCGCAATTCCATCTTTCTAAGACACGGCTAACGGTATTTGACTGTACACATCAAACGATTCAGCTATTCGATATTCAGTTTCTCCTGTTTTACGTGCTCGTTAAGGTGTCAGGCATAAACTCGATGGTTAAGTACAGCGAAGCTCTTGTGAATCGTTTGCCTTTATGGGAATCTTCAGTTATATAGGGCATTTCAAAATAAGTGCCGTTCGAATTAACCATACCCAACCATTATTCATTTTTCATAAAAAATACAAATGCTAAAATATTCTATATCGTATGCGATTTTCTGACGTTTTTATGGGAATCTATGAAAATCGTTAAATGAAACATAGAAATGGGTATCTAAGGTAAAAGGAACCGAGTTGTAGTTTAGATGTTATTTCAAAACGAGCCACTTATCTTTTAGGGGAGGAGCTGAAGCTATCACACGGGTTCTATTAAAAATAAATTTTAACGTTGATCAACGTTGGAACAACAATTGCACTAGATTCCTCTATCCTTCAATTTATTACGCGTTATCGAGTTCAATTAAACCCACGAATTAAACTGTTTGCACCACAAGAGGAGATTCCAATTCAAAAGAATTTAAATTGTGCAAAAGGTTTGACAAAAAGAATTCTCAGTCTCGTTTTGTTATCGCTTAACCATTTCGCTACGGCTATTTTCTCCCGATAAATGGTAAGAACGTAAGTAAAATAATTTTATCAATCGTGCGTGTATCATTTTAAATGTTTCCATTGCACAAGCGAGAAACTTTATAGCGAAACGGTTAAACACGGTTGAAAAATAATTTGTTTTTCTTTCGAGGAAAACCACCGCTCGTACAAGGATATCGCGTTGAAAAGGATCACAGGGATCGAAGCAAGGCGTGCGACGACTTTTTCTTTTTTTCTTTTTTCTTTTAGCGGATATCAATGACAACGACTGAAAGATCAAAAAGTTGGGCATATATTACAAATTGATTGAACGATCGACAACGATCAGATTCGATGAGGTTGGTGAGTTTACTGATCGCAGGTCTCGCCTCGATCGCCAGACACTCGAGCCGCCGATTTACTCTCAATACTTCCATCGTGTCTAGCAACTCCTAGAGTATCTGGAACAGTTTCTTCAATTCCACCATCAACTGCCAGTCTGTTTTCACCAAATCGTCTCTAAAGTACTCTTTGCACGCGTCTATACTCTGTCTGCTTATCTGTAACAAAAAATTTAATTTAAATCCACATACGGATGACGTGGCAACCGACTTTCCTTTAAATCTGAAATGTGAAACGAGCGTTTATAAAGGCAAAAGAGTTCGCGATTGAAAGCGAAGAAAATTGTGAACGCGCCAAAAAGCACGTATCTAGTAAAACCGTATTAATCGTTGTCAGCTTAGTCTACGAATAATTTCCTTGAATCGGTTTTCGCGAGGACGGGAGCATGCTCGCGCACACGGTCCATTCACTAACGTAACGCTTTACAACTGTTTCCGCCCCCCACTCCCGGCCGGAAGTCCCGTTTCATTCATGGATCGGTCACAATGGTGGTTTTACGCGGCTATTGAGGACGCCTGCCTCCCGCCACGCCCCTGTTACTCCCCCCCACCTCCCGCATACCTCTCTATCCATCGTACAACCTTGTCTCGCTTCTATACTCTCTACCATTCATACTCGTACTCTTTCTTTCGCACTCTTTCTCACTCGCGTACGCACTCTACGCACGCACGATGCGCACGCACCTCTCCTTCCCCTCTTCTTCTATCTTTTCTTTCTTTCATAAGTGTCCTATGTTTTCGTAGTCACCTCTTTATCTCTTTCTCTCGCTTTTGTCGTTTTTCACACTTTGATATTATTATGTTGGTCACTGCTGACTAAACATTCGAACGTGTGTGTAATTAATTTGAAACTCTAATTATTAACGATACGAATAGCTGATTTTTTAATTTAATTTGGAAATTTGATAATTTGGGTGTATCAGAATTTTCCATCAATATCAAGAAATTGAAGAAGCTGAGAGAAGGAAGCAGGGGAGAGGTCGAAATGATCGGTCCACAAATCATCGTGGGAACAAGGTGATTCCGGGGAATCGATTCTACGAAGCAAACGGTAACGACGACTTCCGCTCGCCTTGGCAGCACACAAAGATACCGGAGCTAGAACAGCCTGTGTACTCGCGGTATACGGATACTCGAATGCACGCGTGCATAACCGGAAAAAAGCAGATAGAGCAAGATGAAAGAAGAATAGTTGACACGTTGTTGAACATGGAATTCTTGTACAACGATCACCTTCAGTTTTTCTTCAAATCTTTTTCCAACACTTTTGTGGATTTTATTTAATATCAAGTATTAAAGGAAACTTATGCAATGTAAAATTATTCATAATTTAATATTTTTAATAATATGGATGATAGCGTCGTCGAAAAATATGCTTTAAATCAATCGATGTAGCAAAAGTGAAAAAGGAGAGGAAATAATGATTAAAGATAGAAAAAGAAGAAGAAGGCAAGGAGTAGGAGGAAGTGGTGGCGGTGGAGGAGGAAGAATGGAATGGAAGTTCTGCGAAGGCCGGAAGTCGACGTTGGACGCCTGATCGCTGCCGGATGTGCATCTTCCTTTTTCGACCAAAGTCTCGCATACTAATAAGGATCGTTTCCGTCTCGCTTCTGATTTTGATGAAATTGCAAAGCCATGCGAATCGACCACAGCGAACAACCGAGAGTGGGGCAAAGAAGTAAGAAAAAAGATGAAGGAAAAAGCATACTCGATTCTCTAGCGGAATTTCATCAACGACCCAGACCACCTGTCGATCGAATTCCTTCGAAGCAGCTGCCTTTTAAAACCTTCTCTCATATAATCGCTTACTCTTTCATTATTTGTAATATTTTGCAATACTGATTACGGGAACTTACCTTGCTAACGATGAAATCTTTCTCGTCGAAGTGACGACCGTACATCTTGGGTGCCTCTCCGGGTATCGGTTCAATCTTCACGCAAACTTCCTGACCCTTTCTCGCCGATTCCACAGTCTTGTGATCGTACTCTATGCTCGTGACCATGCCCAGATCTATAAACTGCAAAATCAAAATAGACGAGGTATTAATTCAATCTTAATCGTTGAACGTTCTTTTTATTTTCTATCCACGATCGGCGGTGTGTCTCGTCGCGTGGGTATAACTCCGCCTATGCATTCCTTCTGCGACCGGAAGTCGAGAGAAAACCGAGTACCTGAGCATTGCGCGTCGTCAGGGCCGACTCGGACGTAGGTAACGTTTTTCGACGTGAATGCCGGCGAGAATCGGTGGATCGAGTAGGCAGATACGCGGCTACGTAGGTTGCTGGATGTTGTAGGACGACGTCTACAGGGTGGTAAAAAAAAGAAAAGAATACTCGTAGCTAGTCGTGGATATTTCATATACACTCTGTGTTGAAAGTTGTCTAATTAATTCAACAACTACTGAAAGTCTTGAACTATCCAAGCACTAAAAATATTCGGACCAATTCCTTCTAACGATGATTTACACCCTGTATATTGGCGCACAGCGAAAGGGTTAATTATTCATAATTGCACAAACTATTTTTCATTTCTATGAAATGATAAGCGGCAATCTACGCGTGTCTCCGAGCAAAGTTGCGTCCGGGTTTGTCGCCCACATGACGCTCTTGCAGCTGCAGGTGTGTTACAGCAATAACACGATTCTAAACGTGCCTGAGCTTTCTTGTTTCTACAGGTTGTCCCGATAATTTTGAATGCCGCAATCCGTGTTAATTAGTACGGGAAGCGAATATATATTTTTAAGTCGCCACTTTAGTCGCGCGTCCTTTTCCGGACGGGAAGAGTGACGTTAATCACCGGATATATCGGGCGACAAACGTCGGTATTAATCAGTGGTGTACCGAGTATCTGGTATCCACGTATCGCTACACGATACACAACCAGCACCGAGATAATGAGAAGAAAAGAGAGAACAAGACGGTGCAGAATGGTTGGCTTGAAAGGTTGGAAATAATTCTTAGAAGCGTTTCAACAACCTGCCTGGAAATGGACGGAAACAGAATTTTCACGACGAAATATACCTGTTATACATTGCTTTGTATCATTTTGAAATTATAAATTTTAATGGCGAAAACTTGGTGTACCTACTCTTTTCAGAAGTACACGTGCAATTAGATGTATATGGTGTGAAACGCGTGGTGGAAGAGTGTCGAAAATCGGACGATCTCAACACCATAAAAGTAACGAGGGACAGAGGCAGAGGAATAATATGGGAGACGAGAAAACGTTCGAGGGGACGAACCGAGAGAGGCTCGTGGTTCGTTTCGAGCCGACCACCAACTCGTGTGTGGGCATATTGCTCTTTTGGCGTGGGTTTCGAAATACATGGTCGGTCATTGTCCATCGATCGACACCCGTGCTTCTGCTTCGAGGCTATGCCTTCCTTGCTTTCGCCAAATTCCTTTTATAGTGTTCAAATGTAACGCTAGATTCCTTCGGAAGGGCTATCGAAGCTTTCGTGATTCAATTTTTTCTTTTCTGTTTCGATTCAATTTCACGTTTCTTAATATAAAATACCAAGAAGGTTAAGGAAGGATCGCGTGTGTCTGTATTTCTGTTTTCATTCCTTCGCCGTCGGTACACGTAGTAGTAGGCGTCTCGCAGCCTGATTCTCTTGTTTACGGTCGCCAAGAAACGTGCCACGACACGGTGTTCCCCGCGACACCCAATTTCAAAGCGGGCATTCTGAATGAGTCTAAGTTTAGTATAAAGCGGCGTCAAGCCAACCAGCCACACTCTCTTTCACTCTTTCTCACCGTAATAACTCAGAATCGTCAGATTCTCAAACGAACTACACTCTCTCTCTCTTACTCGACGAATTATGGAACTCGCGTCAATTACAGAGGAAATGTTAGAAATTGCTCTGAAACACCGTAAGGTTTGAAGAAAATTTCTAATTTAAAATAGCACGAAATTACGTTGAAAATGTACTTCATTCAGACAGATTTCCATGGAACAGGGAAGAAAGGAGGAGGATTGGAAAGCAGAGCAAAGAGAGAAAGAGGGGTCGGTGTTGGCATTACTCGGAGGCAGACGCGACGCAGTGAACGCGTGAGACGGGAACCGGAAGTCTATTTTCGTTAGACGCACCGATTTAGAAAGCTTTATAGTTTGTACGAGCCTGAACGGCTAACAGCGAACCGTCGTCGGTGTGGCTTTGCTGCTTTGACTCCACGCGCAAATTCAGATTTCTGCGACCTTTTCTCACTATTTCGCTTCTCCATCTTTCGCGTGTACGCGCCTCGAGTATTTTCAAACCTACGTGAAATACCAGCTCGCCTAGAAACACGTACACTTACTGAACTATTCGAAAGTACTTGTCTACAATTTTAATTATAATTAACCGTGTGATACTGTTACGAAGACTCGGCCCCTCGATGAATTTTGCATCGAGAATAACGAGGAGATAAATTTTATGTCGTAAAACTGTAAGGATCCAAATTAAATATCTGGTGGAGAATATTCTTTCGCGTGAAAAAAAAAAAAAAAAACAAGCACACCGGCTAATATTAGAGAAAAGGTCAAACTCTAAAGAAGGACGTGTGTAAACGATGAAGATGCCGCCCCCGTCTGAGGAGGAATGTGAAAAAATAAAAAAAGAGGAGAAGAGTATAGAAGGTAGAGAGACACAAGAGACACAAGAGACAGGAAAGGGTGACGAGACAGAGGAGGGTTGAGGGTGAAAACGAGGATACGTGGGACACGGCGTATCTACGTTTAGAGCGTCTACCAAGTGATAAACGACCGGAAGGAAGCCAGAGGCGTTTCCACGAAAGTTACAGGCAAGCCGGAAGGCCGAAAGACGGGATGTGGTTGGTGAGTAAGTGGTGTCGATGCGTTGGTGTTGGTATATCCTCTCTCTTTCTCTCTCTCTATCGTGTTTCTCTAAGTAGGCAGCTGGTTAACGTTGCTATCGTAGAGAAGTAAGGGGGAAAAAAGAGAAACAGCTTGGGAAAGTGAGAAGCAAGAGGAAGAGAAATAAAGAGGGCGAAAGAACCGACTGGGAGGAGAAAAAGAAAGAGAGACGTAGTTGGCCGGATGTCGAGTTTCCAATGTCGAGTAGATCATTTTACCCGGGCTCGCGATTAATTTTGCCAACGACGAATACCGACGATTATCGCCGCGTCGACGAATATCCACGTCCCATTCAAAAGAATCGAATATGCTTGCCAGGCTATATTTTTCATCACCATTGACCCGTCCGAAAACAGGGGATTTAACCCTTCTACCCTTCGTTAGTGTAACCAGATAGGAGCTAGGGTGGGTTTGGCCACCGCAAAACGAAGGTCGACCTCCCCCCACACCTCGCAAGGATTAATCGCTAATGTCTCTATTCTCGTCGATCAAAGCAGTCGGTTGAAATACCATATACGGTTGTTAGATAGCGTTCAAACAATGTAACAAGTTTCGCGTTCCGTTCGCGTGCTCGTTAATTAGCTTCCCCTGCTCGGCCAATCCGCTCGGACGTGTTAATTTTCAACCCGTAACCAGTAAACTTACAAATGCAGAAGAAAAAGCAGAAGAGCGTACGAGGTGTTTAACTTTAAATAATAATGACAGTGATTCTCTATTCCGGAGTGCAACTGTACTGTTTCTAGCGTACCGATGCAACGATGCATCAAAATGCATTCACTCGAATTTCGTGCTATGAAATTTTTCTTATCTATTCTTAAATGTTTAAGAGATACAAGTTGCTATTGTTGGCTTGTACACCCTGTATATGTAGTAGAGGATCGAGAGGAAGAAGCGAGAGGGGAGAGGAAAGAGGAAGAACGTTACGAGCGGCCTTCCGCCGGAAAGGGACTCACACACCACGGAGTTTCTAGTTCCTGTCACTCGCCACGGGAATATAATTCGTGGCGGTTCGAAAAATCTCCTTCGCGTTTCCTTGATATAATTATCGTCGAACGTCGAACCAACCGAGCCGACCGGAAGTTGCGTTTAAATTCGTAACGCCGTTCCGCTAATTATGTTTCGGACGTTCTCGTTATTAACACATTACACTCCGTTATTGTTTCATTAATCTCTTAACGTATGCTTCTTTCCTTTTATGGAAATTTAGACGTAGAATATTTTATTTTATTTTTTTTTTTTAATTTCAAATGAAGTCATTTACATTTTTAATCAAAAATTTATTTTTTTTTAATCAAAGATTAATTATTCTACTAGAGTGGCATATTTCCATATTTTCCATATAGATTTCTTAATGAACTAACAATAAGGAAAATTGATTGAAAGATTATAATTTTATATTTAAAATAATTTTCAGCGCCTGGCAAGAGTAGCTTTGAACGATCGCTAGGAAAAGATGAATAGAGACAAGACGAAGAGAAGGAATGGCGGAACGGCAAGAAAACGGCAGGCTAAAAGAATCCGCCGGATTTCCGCTCGACGTTAAAGCGCCTATCGAGGCCGTTGCGCAACGCGCGTGCACGCCCGATAACGACAGAACCCGTGGAAATGCCTTCTGCTAGCATTCACAGATTTTATCTTTGAAAACCGATCGATTTTTCCTTCTCTCTTTCTCTCATCGATCTTACCAAAAATTCTTGATACTAATTCGATCGATGATCTAATGATAAAATAAAAGATAAAAATCGTACAGCGAATCCCTCTCACTTGCTGTAACGCATAAAACTAAGATTCGCGAGATGCTTGCTGAATCACGTACAAAGTGTCCCCTTTCTTTTACACCAGCTTCAAAACGTCTGCCTTTACGATTCGCGAATGCACATCCATTCGAAACTAGATCTATACATCACGGAACTGACCTGAGCCAACTAGCTTTCGTGATATCCGACATCCGGTCGGGATCATCGTTTCTCAATAAAAGAACTATCGCGACAGATGCACGTCGATTCAATTCATCCGCGTATTTATGCATTCATCGCGTTGCGTAAAAATGTTCAAATCCGTTCGGAAAAAGAATCTATGTTCTACTTCAAGATATTTTCGAAACGAAGAAGATTTCGTTTATAGACAGAGAGCTCAAGCTGTGAAGTTCGAGAAGTGTTCTTAGCATACTTAAGATTCTTCGATAAATTGAAAACATCCAACCGGATGGAAATAGAATCCGAAGTCGAACATTAAAATTTATAGAAAAAAAAAATGAAAAGTGTGAATCGTTGTTCGACGGCGATGATAAAAATAGCATCGGACACTTTCTACCGGAGGAATTTCAGTTGAATTTAACGAAAGGCCAAAATGCAACGAAGAAGCAGGGTTGGGCCGAAAGAAATAAGTACATACATATATATGTATATATACGTATAAGTTTCGTTGGTGTCGACGCGTGGGCCAGAAAACGTGGTCGGAGCTGCTTTCTACGCGCGGGCGAGAAATGCTTGTTGCACACGCAGCCGTGCACCACGGGGATTGCTTGAAACGCGGCCGATACAAATTTTATGCGTTACTATCACCCACATACGACCCGATATTATTGAATCAAATAATTTATACCAAAGTTGTCCGCGTTCAAAATCTAACCACGTCCAATTCGTTTTTCTTTTATAACATCTCATGAATCGTTCATCTTTTTACCAAATAGCAAACATGAAAAGAAGGATAGAAATAGAAGAGAAGATTGGAGTTTGACAAACTAATTGAATGCTGTCGAGTTTCTATTGAATACAGCATAAAACGATCACGGTGAAGAACACTTATGCTCGTATAAATCAAGCTGTTCCCACGCGTGAAAATCTGAAACGATGTTACGCAAAGAGGCTGTTTCGCTCTGGCTCTCCTCTATTCGGAGGCGAAACCCTCCCCGTTCGGTTTGCCTAGTAAATCATTTGGTGGCGTGAGCGTGTGGGTGGTGTTTCACGGGAATATACCTGGAATTTTTGTTTACCGGGAATTTGCAGGCTGCTAATGGCATCGCGACGCCCACGAGACATCGAGGCTAGGCAACCTGTACCGGTATCGCGTGCTACCGCGTAAGGCGAGGCAGCTAAAGGAACTGGCTACCCACCAGCTTTTCCCTCCTACGAGAAAGACAAGGAAACCAATCGAGTCGACCCGACCAACCAGCCAGCCGGAGGCTACGATCCCTTCGAATTCGCGAAGCTACCAGCTGAACACGTCAATCATTCCAGCCTTTTATCGTCTATTAAATCCAGACTGTTCAAAGACTCGTCGACAGTGTTGCATTAACACTTGCCACCGGCACGGTTCGAATAGCTACGCGAACATTTTCTTCGATTTCTCTACCCTTCGATCCTGCCTGTGTAATTACGGTGATATTAACTATTAGATGTATCATTTTGAAAAGGTAATCCAAATTATAGTCTCGGTATACAATTTAGAGTGATTTATGCATACGGTTGTTTGATCGGAGCAATCGATCTACCAACTGGATCGACGTATTTCTCTCGAACGAGTTCACCTACGCGCGGTTAACCAACGGAGCCCCTTAAGGATTCGACTCGAATTCGCTGGTAATCGTATTCAAAGATGAGAAGGGAAAAAGAGACACGTTGATACCGTGACGAGACTGTAAATTGATTCTCGATCCAACATTTGTTTTTCTTTTTTTTTCGCGATGCAATTATGCTAGACGACAGAACTTCTTTTCAATTTATATTCCTGCTGAGTACACCCGCGTGCAACGATAGCTTTTCTCTCGGTTAAGAGAAAGCTTAGGGGAGGAGCCTCCCATCATTCGCATGGCTTCGGGCGAGTTCGGCTCGCGTCGGCGGTGATGGGAGTGTCCTCTTACGCTTCCCCTCAATCGCCTGTTATGCGCGTGGGTGTACCGTATACCCGCGATTGGAAATTTAGAAATAAAAGGACGAGTACTCACGTCTTTACTGGGCACACAAATTGGTGTTCCTTCTTTGACGATTCCAGCCTCGACCATTACACCCATGACGATTGGATCTCGAGAATTGTAGATGTGCTAAGACAAAAATACATCCACTTTCTTAGTTACTTCGAATTTGATAGTACACATATTCATATTTGCTTTGGCAATGTCGATTCCACTTCCGTTCCGATGATACGTACCTGTGGTAATATACGAAGTTTACAGGGAAACACGGCGATATGCTTGTTTTCGTTCCGTTTACGTTGCTTCAGCTCCTCTCTATAAGCGGTAAACTTGTCGAAGAGGTGGTAAATGATGTCTGCCTGGAAGATCTTCACTCCGAGCGAATCGGCTAATTCTTGTGCGTCTCTTTCGATCTTCACATCAAATGCTAGGATCGTAGCGTATCTGTTTAAAAGATTTTTATTAAATATACTATTGGACCATTAAGCAATTGCTTTAGGCCAGGGGTGGGCGATTGTTTTGGCTCGGGGGCCACTTTGTGGAAGCGGAGGTTAACGGAGGATCGCACCTTTTCATTAGTTAACTTTGCATTTTAGAAAGGTATAAATTGTACCATAAAAATCAATAAATATAAATTCAATAAAATAGTGGCAATTTTATATTCAATTTATTTAAATACGAGACGAATCTTCGGTCGCGCACGGGAATATACTTACTGACTGTCGTGTTCCAACATGATAGAAGCTTTCATAACGTCCTTTTTGACAACAGGACCGATACGAATTCCAGCGTACTGCAAGAAAGAAAGAAAGAATAATTAGAAACTCGTCGTTAAATCTTGATAAATCATTTGCTCGGTACTCTCGAAGAAAACCACTATCCTATTGTGAACTCGACACACTAATTCAGCAGCCAGATTGGTAGCCGTGCACGTACGCATTTTGTCGTTAATAGGCGATTTCCGACGATGAATATACAGGACGGGTCAAAATGATTGCACGCCAAGAGGAATCTGCACGATAAACAATTTTTATGAAACAACCTGTACGTAGTCCACGACGAATACCTCTCGATTCGCAACGTTGTTCCGTACTTGGAAGGGACATAAAAAATATTCGAGTAAAACATAAACCACTGTCACTGCACCATAAATACAGTGGAAGGCTGAGCGTGTATTCTGTTTGGACTCAAAAATAACTAGTGACGCATGCTGTCCGGATTCGGCTGGTACCAGACGCGACACATAGAAATAAACATTATGCACTTACAAAGAAGCCGGCATCGTAGACTCGAATCGTGATAAGTACCTTGAATTTTCAATTAAATTCCTTGATTCCCTAATTGGAGTTAACGCGTTAGAAAGAGATATCGTTATGAATGATCCTTTATGCTTGACGGGTAACAGAGCAAACCTGGTGAAATCCATGACCTTTACGTAATGAATGAACTGTCGGCGATGAATAAAGAGGGAAAAGGAGAGAAAAAAACGAGAGCCAATTAGAAGGCACTACCGGCTCGATAAATGAGCCTACTCACCGAAACACCGACAGCTAGTCATGTTTCATTGATGAGCAGTGAATTGTAATACCATCCGTTGGAATAAGGTAAAAGGACCGAGAGACGAGTGGGAGAATGAATGAAAAAGAGAGAGAGAAATGAAAAAGGTGTAGCGTGGGAGGTGGTCAATGAGAATGAGAGATGAAAGGTGGGGAATGCAATTAATGACGCGTCAAATATCAACGTGTTTTAGAGGACGAAGCCGATCTAAAAATACGCCAAAATTAAGCAAACGTAGTGAAATTTTTCTGAAATAAATATGGAAAAAGTGTATGAAAATGATTTGCCAAAATAGACACGTCCGAATGGAACAGATGCTGAAAAAAGGAAGGAAAACGGGGAAATAGAAAAGAAGAAGAAGAAAAAGGGAACGGGATAAAAGAAGGAAGGTAGAGGAGAAAGTGGAGGGAAAGAGACACAGTGTTCACGGAGAAAAGACGGACGACAGATGTTGCCAGCGAAAGAAATGCTGGTACAAAACGGGAGGAAGTCGAGAGGAAGAGAGAAACAGAGGGGTCTGAAGGAGAAAGAGGGACGCTTCCGGCATTAAAAACCGGCCGGCAGGGCACGGATCCTCTTCAGCCTCTCGTCGTAACTGCGGAACGTTTCCCGAACAAGGAAACTCTAATTTATTAAGCTTACGCCTCTGTTAAAAAGTGATTTCCGCTTTTCAAATCATTTCAAATTTCTTTAGAATTTAACTTAATTTCTGCTTTAGATCACACGCTTTAAAACGACACGATTTATAAGAAAATGAAAAATAATTCGCATAGAACTTTAATCGTGTACTATACTGTTTGCCCGTGGCTGGCAATAAAGCGGACTGATTCCGCTAGAGATTCGCGAGCGCGAATAATTACTGGTTCGACACGGTGTTTGCGATTCGTATAATATAAATAGCATCAAAGAATTTTTCCACTTTCGTATAATTACACCGCGTACCGTGTTAGGTAGTAGAGAAACGAAATTCGATAATCATCTATCCGCGTGAAACAAAATGTAAGAAACCGGGAGAACGGTTGCTCGCTAATTGAAATTCCCTTGCACACCGTACCTGTTGTGTGCGAATTCAATGTACCCTCAACCGCGAGAACTTTCTCGACATTATCATAATTGGTTTCTAATTACATCGAAGGGGTTCGATATCCGGTTCGTCGGTTGATTACAATTTTAAATTCCGACCAAATTACTCCATTAAGACGGTAAAGTTCAACGAATTACAGACCGACGACGCACCGTGTCAAACATTATTTATATCTCTTCACGATTACGAGGGACAGAATCAAAAATGGAACAGCACTGTACCAACACGTTGACAGGGAGGAACAAAATGCTATCGTTAATCAGTTTCCGTCAAGATTTCGCGATTGTCGGTCAACGTCGTTTATTTCTTTTTTTTTTTTTCTTTTTATTCAACCACTAATCCTTCGACCGGCTTCTCTCCTCGTGAAAACGTGTACGTGTACATGACGTTTAACAGAAGATGCCTGTTCGTTCGCCAAAGATTCAAATGTGGCGGTCCGGAAAATGGAACCACCGCTTTGAAATCGTTTCTATCTTGCAAACGAAATCACCGAGAGGAAAATGGTAAAGGATTTTTCTGTTTCTTTTACCACGAATAACTCGTTGGATAGTTTTGCTGATGCGCATCATCTTTGAGACAGCCTGTATATGTATATCGTAGGATGCCGGCACACAACCGACAGAGCGTGCACTCGCGTGTCCGCGCTCCGCATATCCGCTCCCATGTCCCGGTATAGCTGCTTCTATGCCGCGGTTAAAAACAATGCGAGGAAACGAGCCATCTTTTCCTGCTGCTGCAGAAGAGGAGCGCGAACTGCACCTCCGCTCGTCACGATTCACGATACAACGGAGCCGACATGTTACGACAAAATCTTCCCCCCTCCCCCAAAAAAAACCATTAAACGCTCGTAATTTCAGATGATTTACTTTGATTTAACAGAGCGGCTTTTCCGATCGTTTGTTTTTCCTCAAAGATTCTAGACGTTCGAGGACTTAAAACGTTAATTTGTACGTGACGAGTATGAGAAAAGGAGGCGGGTTAATTATTAATCGAGCCGCGTGGCCAGGGCTCGTTCCAAGAAGAATAGCGCGTGTCCCGGTTAAACTATTTATTCCGATCCTGCTCGTCTAAACAGGACGAGGACAGGAAGACGCTCGGCAAGAATCTTCAATTTGCCAACACCGTCATAATCGAGCGGATATGCGTACGTATGCGCTCGAAGCTGAAGCGAAGCAACTCGCTTCGTAAATACTAAACGTTCGCGTTCGCGATATTTACGCGATAACGACAATTATTCGTTGTTTACTATGAACGAATGTCAATATATTTCTATTTTCTGGAGAGCTGCATAAAAATCTGAAAATTTTTTTTCGATACGAGTAATAATCGTGAAGAAATCACAAACGAGTCATTTTATTCGAGGAAAATCGAACAGGAAATAAATTGAATCGAAGGAAATCGTTTCAACATCGCGCATTCGTTCGATCGTACGAAATCGAAGCATCGATATTAACGATGTCCGCGAGTGGAAAGATAATCGAATCGATCAGGGGATAGCGGCCGGTGCACGATATTCGTGTCTCATCTGTGGCGCAACACGGCTGCCTTTACGGACCGACACAGGGTTACGATTCCCAGTCGTGTACGTCCGCCCGTTCGTCGATCCGTCCGTCCACCCACGGTGCTTTTGCTCCGAGTGTGGGCAGTTTCCTGTATGTTGATCACGTATTCCTTCTTCCAGCCCACACGCGTCCGTGTGTCTCCTCTGTGTTGGCAGAAGAGAGGGACTTCTCGGAGAATCTCTATGCTGCGTGAGTTTAGCCCGCCAGCCCGACTCTCGTCGAAAAGAAAAGAGAAGAGAGCGAAGGAAGAAAGAGCGGGACAAACGGTGTGTTGTGCCCCTTGTCATTCTTTCTACCCTCCCCCCGTGTCTTCTTCTATCTCTTTCGACTCCCTCCTGCGTGCCATATGTAAAAGCATACCCGCCGGTACCCGCCGGTACCCGCCGGTACCCGCATTGCCCGACGAGTGACGGACCCGCCGTACTTGCGGCTCGCTGCGTGCGTGTGTCGCGTATGCCAGCGATAAAACCTGACGTCACGAGCCACGTGATCGTACGATACGAGTAGGGGTAGCCCATTCATAATCCGAGGAAGGACAGGCTTAAGGCCGTTTCGGACGTTACCTCGAACCGAACCGTCGAGTAGCTACTCATCCTCTTCTTTTACTCTCTTTCCTTTTCTTTTATACTTTATCGTGCGAACGTCGATGCACCGCTGCCAGAGAGCTACGAACCGAACAATGCCGACCGAACGGATACTCTATCCGTCAACTGGATAACGCACGTGTTCACGTCGGTCGAGCAAATATTTTTATTACAATATTACATTATGCGTTATTCTAGACTCTATGTGACAATCAGTCGTTGGAAAATTTGACTACGCCCAAATTAGGCAGTGATTGGTTTCGCCAGACACTGACCTACCTCTTCTATGAATCAGTTTTACGTAACGATTTACGTTGCAAAAGATACATCTACCTTGTCTGAATGTGCATTGACAGTCAGTTTTCTGTTTCGGTGAGGAAAAATCAAGTAACATACGGGACACCTTATATAGAAGGGTATAAGGCGTGCTCACGGATGCACAACAGGGCTGATAGCACGATGGATCACAACTACAAGCACCGTATGCGACCAATGAGTCGTATCCTGCTAAACTGTTAAGAAGGAAGTAGTTCGTTGCTGCTGTTCTCTCTTTCTCTCTCACGCACACACATACACACGCTCACTAACTCCCTTTCTCTCTCGTCCCTCTCGCTGCTAGTCTTTTTTCACTCTTACTACCTCTCCGTCTGCTTCACTGTCTATCTTTTCTGTTGGTTACGTTTCACTCGCTATTTTATAACTCTATCTACGAAGAAAGGTATCGACGAAACGGATAACGCGAAACGAATAGTACGATATTCAATTAAACTGTCTATACACTATGAAACATATTGTATAATTGTTACGGAGTAGACACAAAAGACTTACCGGTATTTTGCTGCTTTTCAGGAAGTCCAGCAACGCTTCGAGTGCACCTAAAGTTGATGCTTGCACGTAAACCCCTCGTTCTGCGAGTCGAATATTCCTGAGGGCGGAGGATAATTCTTTCGCAATTTCTTCTTTCAATACCTCCACCTCGTCCGGTTTTTGAGCCACTTGGAGATTCAATCCTATTCAGAAATCACGAAACTGTGTAATTTACTATCTTGTTGTGCAGCTGATATACATGAAGAAATAAATTGCCCACCTGCAATTGCTTTCTCTAAATCTTTCGCAGCGATTTTCACTCCTTGGGCAGCTCTGATTTCACGATATTCAATATAGGCATTCTGAAAGAAATGTGCGAATCGAAGATTGTAGAAGATTTCTATGACGATAATGTCGATTATTTTTTCTTACTTTAACTCTCAATTCTTTCAACGGTTGTGGCATAAGAAGAGAACGTATCTGAGTCACTATAGGACCATCGGTGCCAGCTACTATCATCGTGTCACCTTCTCTCAACATTCCATTGACTAGAATACAATCTATTGTAGTTCCAAGACCTGGTAATGCTTTCACTTCTAAAACTGTCGCTTGAAGCTCTTCGCTGTACATGAGTCTCTTAGCTAGTGGACCCTGACAAGCATCGACTATCAACGACAACAGATTACCCATACCCTCACCTGTAGGAAAAATATACTTTTTTCTCATATTCTAAAACATTAAAACGAAATCAATATAATATACCGACTTACCCGTAATCGCACTAGTAGGTACAAGGGAAACGTAAGTTTTAGGATCTGGATTTTCATAAAATAACGCAGCATTCAGGCCTTGTTCGGCAAACTGTACAATCACATCTTTCGAACGTTTCTCAAATTCTCGCTGCGTATTTATAGCTTGAGTCTTTACGATATCTTGAACATCCTTCCGACTCATAGTTTGCCAATCGTATAATCTAAAAAATTTCATATCTTAATGATTAATAGCGCAATGTACATATTTCACTCGAGACATAATGATTTATAGTATTTTACCTATCGATTTTATTTAAAGCTACGATGAAAGGACATTTCTTCTGCTTTAGCAAATTAATACTCTCGATGGTTTGCGGTTCTAAACCATGCATAATGTCTACTACTAATATCGCTATATCACAAAGAGATGATCCTCGGTTTCTTAAGTTACTGAAAGATTCGTGCCCAGGAGTATCTATAATCAACAGTCCAGGTATTTTAAATTTCTTGTCAGCGTACTAAAAAAACATATATCGTTAAACGTTATTAAATGTTTTTAAACGGAGAACAATTATAAGTATAAACATAACTTACCCCTTTGACATGTTTCGTTGATTCTCGAATGGCATCGATCGGTACGTTTGTTGCACCAATTTGTTGAGTAATACCGCCCGCTTCACCGTCCTGTACATTCGTTCTTCTTAATTTGTCAAGAATCTTTGTTTTTCCGGTATCGACGTGACCTAAAACGCATACCACCGAGGCTCTGAGATTATCTAACGATTTTTTCTTTTCCGCTTCTATCCTTCGAAGCTGTATTCGTTCCCTAATTCTTTCCTTCTTCTTTGCCGCGTCCGATACTTTGTCTTCTACTCCACTATCGTCTTCACTTTCATCTGATTCCGATTCGCTACCGGTTTCACTCTCCGATTCACTTTCGGAGGATTCTTTTCTGGTTTGTACTTGTTTTGCTTTACCAAGTGGAAGAATAGTTCCTTTAATCTTATTAGGAGTTTTTGGTGCCTCGTCCGATTTATCTGTTAAATTATCGTATATTAAAAAACGTTTTTTTAAATAAATATTTTATACTTTATGCACTTTAATACCTTCTTCTTGCTCATCGTCGCTACTTTCCGCGTCCCATGAATCTTTAACATCGTCTTTCTTTTCTTCGGATTCTTTGGATTGTTGATCTACAATTTCTACCTCGACTCTGTCCGTATCTGTTATGCCTTCTTCCGTTTTCTCATCATCTTTCTCGTCGATGCTCACCTGTTGTTTCATCTTATTTGGTCTTATACGAGTCCCTAAAACAATACGCTGTTACGTATCGGAATATGTTTCCATAAACCAGATTTACTTACCTGCTCTAGGTTTCTTTTCTCCTACATCCGGTAATTCTAAACCTTGAGCCTTAAGCGCATTAATCATAGCTTGCGCTCTCGCCCTATCTTGTTTCTGTTTGGTTGTTAAAAGCTTTCCTTCTGCTTTTAATCGTTCCTTTCGTTGTTTTTCTTTCAATTTTTTCTTTTCCTTACGCTCCTGTTCAAGCCTAACTTGTTCCAAACGAGCTTGTTCTCTCAGTTCCTCTTGTTTTATTCTTTCCTCTTCCTCCTTTTTTAATCTTTCCTCTTCTTCCTTTAATTTCTTTAAGGCCTCTTGCATTGCAGCAATAGTTTTCTTCCCAGGACCTTTGCCTATTGCACATATCTAATTATACTAAATGTAGAGATAAATTAATGTTATATCCTAATAATTACAAATCGTATTAATTTAATATATTGGAAAAAAGAATGATAAAGCTGTTTGCTACCTTTATCTTTTTCCTTCTCTTTTATCTCATCTTTCACTGCCTTCTTTTTCTTCTTTTTCCCCTCTTCACCCTCAACAGATACAGCAGCATCTACTGCTTCCTTCGCTTCTGGCACTTTTGCTGATGGTTCTTTCTTAGTTTGCTTTTCAGGTGCAACTTCATTCTTTTCTTCTTCATTTTCGGTCTTCTTAGTAACTTCCTGTTACAATTAAATTAAGCATATTAAATTGTAATATTTATATTAAACGCAAAAGGAAAAAAAGTGTTCAGTTACATACTACTTTCTTTTGGGCAAGCTTCTTCTGTTTTTCTCTTTCTTTCTTTTCTTTTTTCTTCTGTGCTGCAGTTTTTACAGTACTCATTTCCATCTCATCATCAATATCTTCATCTTCAAGAAGTATACCACTCTTCAATTCTTGTTTAATTTCAAAAATGTCCCCCTTATCCTTCTTCTTATCCTTTTTTCCTTTTTTCTTTTTCTCCTCATCCTCAGGTTTTTGTTCAACTGGTGCAACAGTTTCCTCTTCCTTCTTTTGTCCAGTGTATTCCAATTCCAATTCAGCCAAGACCTTTTCAATATCTTCATCACTATCATTGCGCTTTCTTCTGGCTAATTATAGACAATTAATTACACATCAGATTAAATATCCAATATCTTTATTTTATAGTAAATTTATACAGCATTAATATTATTACAAACTCATTAAATTATTGAAATATATATAAACTATTCCTATATTATTGCATATATATATATATATATAAGAATTAAAAAACTTACAATAATATTACAAACTATTTTATTTAAATTATATTTCAGTGCTAATAAATTATATACAAATCACTTAAACAAATCAGGAAATTACCCTACATTATTGATGGTATTTGTAACTTTCACCTTCTACACTATAACTTAACTTTCACCTTCTACAAGTTTTTATTTATAAAACATTTAATTGATAGAATATTCGAAGGATGAATTAAATTATTTATTAAATATTTATATTCGAGAAAAGATCACGTTATCTAATACCATGCTGAAGTTATGAAATATGAGTTGTAAAACTGAAGTATTACGAGAATTTAAAAATATTATTGAACATTTTTTAACTTTTGATAGCTTTAAAATAACGCAGACAAACTAAAGTTTAAACTATCAAAGCATAGACATTGTAAAACTACCAAAAGTGCATTATTATCCTTTCCGTATGTAACGTAAAGCGGTTAAGTTGAGGTTAAGTTAAAGCAGACGACATTTCTTAAACGGGTAGGAAACTCCAAAACTTCAATAAAAACCTAGACTAATACACAGATTTGAAAGGTTATCATTTTGTTCTTATTTGATGACACATTTATGGAAAATACACCGCTATTTTCTTACCTTTCTTGCCTTTCTTCGGCTGAGATTCCTGCATCTTGATCTACTTTTAAGATTTTCTCTGTACACGTCCACAATTTTTTTAGAGCTTTACTTATAAAATTGTCTTTACAAAAAGACTCAATTGCACATTCAAATACCTACAGGAGAACTTGAAATGATTACAAATAACTCATGAGATCACCCAAACCTCTACCTGCACCTTTAACCCGGCCTGCACGACTATGTGCATTACTAAACCATGTATTATTGCAATTGTTTAAGATACACACCGCATGAAAATTAAGAATAATTTCTAATGTATGATAAATTAATATTTATATATAAGAGAATAAACTATCTCTGCTATAAAAAAATACTCATTTATATAGTTTTTCTCTTTTTACCATTAAAGTTCTTAACAAATTTAGTGCAATAAGTATTCTTCTAATACATTACAATATTGAACTGATGCATTTCTGTGGTAAAAGTGTTTGCTTAAGTAAATATATTTTATATATTTTTGTTTAATCATTGAATCTATGCAATTTGAAATCCTGTTTGAATATATTTTTTAATAATAATTTTCATTATTTATGAATAAACAGTTCCATACACATGCGCCATCTGCGTTAAAAGTGGCAACTTTCCTGCGAAGAACACGCTTCCCGTTCTTTGCATTGCGATCAAGATGGTGAGTAGGTGATGTTGAAAGTGTTGTACCTTATCCAGCATTATTAACAGCATCTGTGAATTATTAAGATAGAAGCAATCATAATCTTATTAAAAATTTCATAAATCTTTTCTTCGAGTTATTATTTTTTGTTATAGATGTTGAGATATTGATTATAAATATTCTTAACCTTATGACTGCATTAAATATAACCTTCATGATGAAACATACGTTAAAATCATTATAAATTTGTGAATAATTGATTGATGTAATTTATTTATTTTCTTTTGTTTATTATTGCTGACAGTCGACACACAAAAAGAAGACCAGGAAGCTTCGTGGTCATGTGAGTCACGGCCATGGTCGCATAGGTATGACAATATACGTATTGATAGAACATTACTCTTATTCTAAGTAACAATAAGTTTAATATTGAAATATTTTAATTTAGGTAAACACAGAAAACATCCTGGTGGACGTGGTAATGCTGGTGGTTTACACCACCATCGTATCAACTTTGATAAGTACCATCCTGGTTACTTTGGAAAGGTGAACATAAATTTTTTATATATATTGCAGTCAATAATCGTAGATATAATGATGATAATATTATTCACCGGCGAACTGAATTACATTGAATGCATTTTACACTTATTCTGATAAAGTATACAAGTGTTAAATATATTATTTGAAACTAAGGGTTTTGTAACTTCTAACATTTTTATTTGTAGCTTGGTATGAGAAATTACCATTTAAGGCGAAATACAAAATGGTGTCCTACTTTAAATTTGGACAAACTATGGACACTGGTTTCTGAACAGACCAGGCTTAAATATAAGGATTCTACAGAAAAAGTACCAGTAATTGATCTTGTAAAAGCGGTAAGCTTTAAAATATAGGTAGCTACTTATGTATATGCTGATATTTGTGTTTATATTTTTCCTTATTTTGTTTTGCAGGGATACTACAAACTTTTAGGAAAGGGACACCTTCCCAAACAACCAGTTATTGTCAGAGCTAAATTTTTCAGTAAATCAGCAGAAGACAAAATTAAGGCTGTTGGAGGTGTTTGTGTGCTTAGTGCTTAAGCATGCAAGTATGTATATGTTTTTGTTTTAGTATAAGTATTAGCTGATTATTTACGTTAGTAAATAAGATATTTTATGATGATAGTATGAACGGGCGGTCTGAAAAGTGCGTACAACACTTTACATCATGTTGAACGTTCATTCTGAAAATATTTAAGTACAATCCAATAATATTTTTATTTTAATTTTTAGTGAATTTAACAAGTATTTTGATTTCGTTTGTTTCAGGAACTATTTTTACGGATAAACTTGCTGTACATTCTACTAAGTTTATATTAATAAAATTAAAAACAGAAAATCAAATTTTTCTATTTATTTTATTATAAAATAAAATAGGGGTTAGTATTTTTTTACATTAGAATAAAAGACGTTCGCTTTATTTATAATAAAAGAAATATACATTATAAGTTTATTATTTTGCTTTTGTATGTTATATTAAAGAATTATGCTAAATGTGGAGGTGGAGGAGGTATTTGCATTCCTGTGGCTAGAAGTGCTGGTGGTGGTGGTACTGGATTAAACATTGGTGGTCTTGGTGGTGGTGGAACTGGTACCATAGTTGGTCCTAAACCAGGTCGTATTAAAGGAACTGGAGGTGGTGGTACTTTGCCAACTGATGGCTTTTCATTCTTAAATGCAAACTGCAGGAAAAACTGTTTTGTATCCTTATTCCAATGAGTCCAAAATTTTCCTTCTGCCTTTTCAACTTCTCTACTAGGGACCTAGAACATAATTATATTTTTAAATAAAAAATCGCAAGTAAAATCCTTAAAAATATTTATATTCATATTGTTGCTATTTACCTTAAAAGCTATAGTTTCATAAGGTTCTGCGGCGAATAATAAGTACTGCCATTTACGATCTGGCGGTTCAACTCTTTGTTCATATGCCGACATAAATCTGTGCCGTGGAATAACATTGTCGGCAACTTCTGGATAATCAACTTGGAATAATAAGCTTTGTTGTCCCGATTCTGGATCACGTTGTTTTGTTACCCTATAACCGGGTCGTCCAATTTTTACGAACTTTTTTGGTTCTACCCGAGGTTTTTCAGGAGCAAGAGTTTGAGGTGCTTCCTTTGCTTCTTTCGCAGCTCTCCTAGCTAGGTTAGCTTGATGCTTTTTACCCTGTGTATGGGCCAGATAACTGCCCTCGTTGTTATGAAGCGTTAAACACAGTTTACATTCATAAGAGCCTAAATGATTTTTCATAAAATATGGATCTTTGTTAAGATCAATAGTTTCTAACGCCAATTGTCGTAATCGTTCTCTCCTGTCTCGATTACTCTCTGACCAGGAGGCAACGCCTCCACCGCCAGTTTTGCCTCCAGGTCGATTTTGAAAATCCATCCTTAACTTTTATATTTCTTGCACTTATTCAAAAACGATTGTATATCCTTTAAAGAATATGAACACACGACGCTTCTTCGTAACATAGGTTAACTTTGGTTATGTTGTGTATATACTTGAGGTCACGAAAGTCCATAACTAAGCGCGCAGGTTGGAAGATGGTGGGGGAACGCAGCGATGGTGGGGGAAAGCGATCCGCCAATCGCTTTCCACTTCCGCTGGAAGTATCGCCAATCAGAGCGACAATGCGCAGAAAAGAACGAAAACTGGTCTTTTCGCAGTTATGGACTCTCGTGACATCAAGTATATATACAACATGGCAGGTAACTATCTTCAGCGCTTGGACGGTCAACATTGGAATCAATCTGCACCCCCTATCAGATGCCTGAACCTGAACCATTTTTGAGTATGAGAGTTTAGTTCCTGAAATCTTCGTTCTAGCGCAATAGAATGTCGGTATTTCAGATTGTGGGACACGAACTCCCATAAAATGATTTCTCTACTTCATATCTTATCTGTGGTATAACAGGAATAAAAACAATGTATTTTGTAGAAAAGATGATCATTTTCTTTCTATTTAGGTTATATTAATTTCTAATTCATTTTTAGGAGTTTAATTGATCTATAAAATTAAAAGAGATTAGAAATCGTTACAACAATTATATGTACTCGAGTACATGTATGTATAAAGAAGATACCTATAGGTATTGCATTAAAAATATGAACTGTCAAAATAAATACAAACAATTTTGTAACAATCGTAAGAGGAATAGTTAAAGAATGGAGCATGAAGAAGAATTTCTCAATACTTTCTTTACTCAAGTTGCTCAATTGTGTACTGATAAAGCTAAGGAGTTAGTTGTAAGTAATTACTGAAGATTCTTACTTTCATATTATTTATTTACTCCTAATTTTATTCAAAGGAATTCTAACTTATACATAACTCTTTAACTGTTCAATATTAATGAAATCATAATGTTTATCTTAATAAACTGTATTATGTACCATTATATCATGAAGCAAAATTATAAAATATGGAGTAATTATAGGACAGAAAGATTATTTAAGCATAGTTTACTTTGATTTTCAATGAAATGTTAATTGTTAATACAACATTAAGTTTAAGATAATTATATTAATTTATGTTTAGGAAAAAGAACGTGGATCATGCCGTCAAACACAGATGGGTCCATGGGGAATGTTACTTATGCATTTACCTCAAATAGCTGTAGCGGAACATTCATATGCAGATTTAGGTTTCCTTCATACCAAAAATAAAGGATTTTTAAGGAAAGATGTAAATACCAAGTTTAAAATAATGTTTAATTTATGAAATGATTATAAAATTCATTTAAAATTTAGCTTCCATTGTTTTAGAATTCACTGAGAACAGTGTATGAATTATTAAAATCTGATTTGAAGAGGGTAGAAGAAATGACTAGAGGAACCAATTCCATTGGAGCAACAGTTGCTGAAGTTTCTAATCAATTGTGCCAATACATAACAGCAAAAATACAGCTAATAGATTTGTTAGTATATTATTATTTCGATATATTATTCAATGGTTTTTTTTACACTGTTATTTTATTATAGTTATGAAAAAATGTATAACATGAGTGTAAATAGCAAAGCCATGAGATATCAAGAATTATTAGAATCCATTGAAGGAATAGCAGAAGCTCATTCTTTATCATGTTCACATTTAGCATTAACTGCTATTAAGACAAGTTTAACGTAAGTATAAATAAAAATAAAATTATGTTGTGATGTGTCATATAATATCCTAAAATTAAAGTATATTTTGATTAGATTAGAGTGTGAAATATTAGTACAGTTAACAAAAGCACAAGTTGAACTTCAACATTGGAGGTTTTTGTTAACATTAATGGCTCTCTATGGTGCACAAACACGAATGTCAGCATGGGAAAGAACTTTACAAAGTAAAGAGGTCAGTAATGTACATAATGAATAAAAATTATAAAAATATTTAATCTTCACATATAACATTTTCAGTCATGGAAATTAGGTTTCAGTGCTTCTTTTCTGAAAGCAAACCAACAACCAGCATTATACCAATGGTTAGTGAAATTACGCGGTAACATATTAGCTAAATGTTCATTATATTTTCATACTACCTTAAGTCAGCAAGCTAATCCAGGAGAAATGAGAAGCATCATGAGCAAGCAAAATGTGGATTACTATCATAAGTAATACATTTTTAATTTTTTGATGTAATCAAGTTGTTTAAATCATCAATCAATAAAAACTAATGTATATTTATTTTAGAATACAAAGTTTTCAACGTAAACATGACGTTTTAGCAGTTTTAATAATATTTGATTCTCGAGGAGTCGAAGATGCGGGTCCAGGTTACAGGCATCCTCGCAGAGAACCAAATGTGACTGAACAGTTTCCCGTTGTCCTCAGTTGTCCTAGTGTAAATTTATATAGATTATAAGCGACTAAATTTAATATCTTCTATATATTTTTGACAAAGAAAATTTTATTATCTAAAATTATTATTTTAGGTATTTGCACAAAAACCATCAATTCATTTGGATAATATACAAAAGCGATTTAAAGAAAGATATACGGAACTTCTTGCCATGGATAAAATTGTGTATAGTAAAAATGCAAAGGTGTGTTATTAGTTTAAAAGCAATTAATTAATCGTATTAACCAATTCTTTTACAGGATGCGTGTGTATATGCAATGTATAATACTGATCCCAGAATGACTTTAGTTACCGTATATGAAAGTGGCAAACAAAAGGATAAGGAAGCCCATGTAACCTCGTTTATGACCGATTTATGTATGCAAATTAGGTGTAATAAGGTGTACGAATCATTAAAATTATCAAAATGAAAGATCATGAACTACACATAAATGTTACAACAGAACCAAAGATTGTAGCGCGCAAGAATCAAAACTTATTTAAATAACAATGTTATTATAATGTTGTACAGAAATAAAATTTTTATTACTGTTTGTACTATATTACTTTTTACCGGGAGATAACTTTTTCATTTTTATTAAAAGTATGTACAAAATTTCATCATTATTAAATATAAAACATTACAACGACATGATTGCTCGTTTCAATGCTTTTTCTTTATTTCTTCTAACTCTGTTTCGACGTTTACTGCTTTTGGTTGCATCTCTGAAAAGTTGTATTCCTTCTTTTTCTTCGATAGTGCGTTGTATATGCATCATCCCGTGTAAATTAAAACCAATCATATCCTAAAAATAAAGAAAATTACTTTTAATAGCAACTTTTATTGATTTTGAATATTAAAAATACGATTTATATTTTGAAAAATTATTCCTACCTTCAGGTCAGAAACTTTCTTGATGGCAAGTGTTTTCACGGTTTCTAACACAGGCAAAAGTTCTTCTGTAGCTATAATTGGACCATGATGGGCTTGTATTAAACACAGGGCTAATCTCGACATTAATTCCGTGTGATAATCCGACTGCAATAGTTTAGGAAGCTTCTTAAGAATGTCGCACGCAACCGAGTAAGGTAATAATAATAATGTTTCTTCCAAATCGCTAAAAAATAATAATTAATTTTTATTCTATTTAATATATACAATTTATATAAACATATTTTACCTTGCTCTGATCCGTTTAATCGTTTCTAAAAAGTAATCATCTATGGTTTCACAATTGTAAGCTTGCATTTGCAAAGGAACAGGAGGCGCTTTATCGATCCCCGCTGCTACTGCTTTCGATAACTGTTCATTATATTCTGCAGACACGTCTAAACATTCCATTATTAATTCAGCCTAAAAATTATAAAAATTGAATTATATATGATGAGGGAGAATAGTTACTTTAACATTCGACGCATTAGTTCTTACCCCTCTTTCACTAGAGACAGTTTTTCTTGAAGGTAAAGACTGTTGTTTCTGTCCTGGAACAACGGTACTTTCTCCAGTAGCTAATTCATTTTCTTGACGTTCTCTTTCTTCTTCTTCTTCATCTTGAAGAACTAAGGGCTCCGAAGTTCTTTCGTACAACCTAACTACCTTATCTGATCCGCAGGATACAACATAAACACCATTTGGAGAAACAGAACAATTCCATGCCTCTCCTGCATGCCCCTGAGTAGATAAATTTTATATAATTTTTCATTACACTCATTAATTCGTTATTTATTGTAATAAATTTAATTACATGCAATGTCACAATCTTTTGAAAACTATCAGCGTCCCATTCTTTCACTCTTCCATCTTTTCCACATGTGAAAACATAATGTGTCCCAGGAACAAATGACAATCCCGTGACGGAATCATCATGAGCGAATATTGATTTGTGGCAATCTCCGAAATCTAAACCCCAAATTTTAATATTTCGATCTGCAGAACCAGTGGCAATAAGTGTTGAGTCGCTAGATATATCCATACACAATACCGGTAACTTATGTCCATAAAGTGAAATGAAAAACTGAAACATGATTGTAGAATTTTTAGATACTTCATTCTAACAAAGTAAATATTATATTGTACTTTTAAATGATTACCTTAAAAGTATCAAGGAAAAAGATTTTTACAGTAGAATCAAGCAGTGCAACTGCAACAAATCTATTGTTAGGACTTATTCTTACACATAATACAGTATCTTCCAGTTTCAAAGTTCTTAAATGTAAAACAGATAAAACTTTCGCTTTTATCTCTCTGTCAGGATCTTCAATAAGTTCAAAATTCCAGAATTTTACCGTTTGATCTCTTCCACCACTAGCTACTCCTTTCTGTAAAATTGTCAATAGTAACTGTAAATTTATACGCACAATTAAATTATAAAATAAAAATAGATTAAAATGGAATACCCTGTCGGGAAATAGCGTGACGCTCCAAAGTTCCTTAGAATGTGCAGGTACTTCTTCCAAAACATCACCTGCTGTAATATCAATAATCAACATTTTGCCATCTTTTAAACCTACTATTAAATGTCTGTCTCCTGGTACAAACGTTAGAGTCAAAGCATAACCACATTCCACAGTACGTAAGCACGCCAGGGTTGGTCTAGAAAACAATATGATTTTTAGAATATTCTTACAAATTTTCATTTATTACTCAATCATTAATATTAATCAATTGTTAATACCTGTTCCATAATTTTACAGAATCTCCGCTAGCTGTTGCAAAAGCCAAATTATCAGAACTAAAACTAACAGCGCGAACGTCCGTACGGTGACCGTGATTTGTCATTGATCTTAATTGTTTTACTTCAGCATCTTTCTCTTGTGTGAATAGAGAATATAATTCCATTGAGTTATTATTAACTCCAATACATATCTGAAATAGTAATAAACAAAAATGAAGTTAATAATTTATTTAACGTGTTCCGTGCCACACGACTCGATAGTAGCTAAAGATCTAGATAATTGAGATCTAGATCTCAATTATTGACACTTTAATGACAAAAATATAACATGAGCTGAACAAGTGGCGAGAAATGTGTTAAACAAAGAAATAAGTATTCGCTACAACTTACTCTGAGTTCACCTCCTCTACCCATTACTATATCGAGCCCTTTAGCTTTAGCAGATACTTTGATAATAGGTAAACGAATGATCTCATCTTTTATAGTTGGTGTTCCCGAGTAATTTATTTCTACATTGCTTCCAGTTCTATTTTTAAAACATATATGTTACATTAATAAATATTTATGAAATATTTGATTTGTATAAATACACTTAGAAAAACATTTTCGCATACTTCTCTGCTTTCTTTCGTTCTTTTCGTAAGCGTTTAACGACATTCTCTTTTACTTTGGCATCAGGTAATACTTGAAATAAATCAATTGTACTATCCACTCCATGACATCCAATAACAGTATGTGTTGTATCAACTTCAAGAGATACAACTCGTCCACGACCGCTTCGCAATATGCTTCCAACTTTTTCACATCTCAAAGGATGTTTCTATTACAAATATAATACTTGTATTAAACATAGAAACTGTAAATAAATTGTATACATAAATATAAGTTAAGAGAAATGTACCATGTCACTAACTTCAGCATCATCAGTGAGAGTTAACTCTTGCAAATGAATATCTACAGTTTCATTATCAATAAAAGATATTTTCCATATTCGTAATTCATTATCATTACAACCAGTTATTAAATAATGATCATCTTTAATTAAAGCTAGACCCCAAACCTGAAGAAATAAAATGATTATTATGGGTAACAAGAATCTAACTATTAAAAATTTACATACCTCTGTTCTATGACCAACAAGGGTTCTAAAATTATGTTCAGTATCTAAGTCCCAGAATTTGACAAATGTGTCTTTGCTGGCACTAATAATGATATTATAATTACTCATAAATACAAGTTTAGTTATTACACCTTTATGTCCACTTAATCGACAAATTCCAGTTTCTGCTACTACATCCCAAAGGATAATATCTGTGTCCTGAAAAGCAATGAATACAGATTAATAATTTCTGTGAATTATCCTATATTAAATATCTTACCTTTGATCCAGAAGCTAATCTATGTCCTTTACTATCATATGCTAGAGTTGTAATTTCAGATCTGTGACCTACAAATATACTTGTATTTTCTCCTGATGCTAGATTGAAAGTTTTTATAGTGCCATCCGCATAACCAACTGCTACATGTTGCTTATTAGGAGAGGCAGCTAAACACGTAACATTTACTTTGTCTCCAGATAATACTTGGGCCTAAAATGGAAAAATATAATAATGATTATCGAATTTATTGCTGAAACTACATAAATATTTTATAGTTCACCTTCTCTCCTAAACGTAAATCCCATATGAAAACATGTTCACATGCACCAACTGCTACAAATCTACCTTCTTGTCCTTGTAATGTTACAAATACAATATTGCAAGAAGGACTAACAATTATGTTTGCATTTCCTGCTGGTACATATCTTAAATATTGCTTTGTTAAACCCATTTTTTATTCTTAAATATAACAACAAAAAGGTGCTTATGTAGAAAAAGGTTTATATTTATAACAAGTGTATATTATTCAAGTTACGAGACTGTTTTATAATAGATATATTCATAATTATTTCCTGAATAATAACAATTTTTAATTTAAAATATTATTTATTTAACATCAATTAATCAAGGTTACAATATTTGTTTTACGTTTTAGGTTACAAACTCAGCTGAAACGTGGGTGATTCCGGTTCAAACATTTGAAATAAAGGAGTACAGTCGTTGGTCGAAGAATGACCAATGATGGTTAAGCTGTGCAAATCGACCTGATTTAAACCTACGTTTAGTTGCTTAAAATCTTTCAAAGTGCGCGTACGTGAATGTAATTTGGGCTATCTGATCTCGTAAAGTGTAATTAAAATAAAAATATTGAATATCATAAGGTATACATTTGAGTGTTTGATAATTCATATTAGCGTTCCAAGTTGTTTAACAATTTCTAAATAAAGTACCTCGTTTTTAAGTAATTATAGAAAGTACGATTACCACTGCTATCTTTGGAAAATTTGTGTTTGATATATACTCATGTTGTAGGGTCTGATTTGATGTAAAAATATGATATAATGATAAGTGTAAAAAATATTTCTTGATTAATTTAATATTTTTATTATCGCGAGTGGTACAAAACGTGACGAGTCTGACCTTTAGTGTTTGTATTGGACGCTATTGTCGATTCTTCATTGTAAATGGAAGGTAAGTTTTTAAAATACTTTTATTATAAACTTATTGTATTATTGTAAATGATCGAAGATAACAACTTTTAACAATTACATATGAATAACATAAAAAAACATTTTTGAAATTATTAACTACTTCCATTTTTGAAATTGTTTTCTATCTTGTATAAAAGTTATATCAAGTATAATATTCAAACAGAATAAGTACAAAATAAATACAGGGTAATAATTAAATAATCAAAGTTGCATGATAATATACTTTGTTTTATTCGATACAAAGGAACTGTAGAAAAGATTTCATTACAATGTACATTCATTCCAAGTGGAAGTTAAGATTTCTCTGGAATCATTCATCCATATTTAAATAATATATACATGTATATAAATTGTTTTCGCAAAATAGTAAACAAAAGGCACTGTTAAGAATAATTTTTTTTTTATGTTACAAACATATAATTTGAATTCTTTACAATCTTAACAGTTTAACAAACTTCTTTCTTCCTCATTCATATTAAATAATAGAATAACATTATAATAATTTTATTATATTTTGTACATCTTTTAAAATGGTAAAAGTTTAATACGTGTCTAAGATATAAAAAGTTTAATAGTATTGAACATCTCAAAGGTTGATATCAATCATTGACCTTTTTTTCTTATTTCAATAAATGTACTAATTAACAGATGTTTGCTTTATTACAAAATTTATAAGTATAAAATGTATAAGAATTATTGCTAATATAAACTGTACGTTGCAAACAGTATGTTAATGCAGTAGCCACAGAATTTAAGCACAAATGTGTGAAAAAGCATGTACAAATTATACATAGTTTAAACATTATATAATTTGCCTAATATATGTATATTAAAACACTGTACTTCTTGCACTAAAACTTGTGTAACAAACTTTTTTCTATTCGTTATTTTCTAATTGAGATTTGATGATCTGTTCGCCAACATGAACTGGTTGAACAATTGAATTTTGGAACCACATCATCCAGTTGTTCAAATAATGACCTCCCAACTGATTATCAGGATTCTCCTTTATCTGCACATTGTTTAATTCTTCAAAATTGCGAACGGTTTGAAGTTCAGTGAAATTATTATTCACCGAATGTCGTCCATGCATTCTTACCTCCCTCTTTCGCAGAGCATCTTTTACTAACCTTTGTTTGCGCTCCTCTTCTGTTTCAATAGCAGATCTAGTAAATCTCATTTCCCTAACTCTTAAAGCATCTCTTTTTAATCTTTCTTTTCTCTCTTCTTCTGTCTCTTTAGCATATTGATTGTGTCGAGCTTCTCTTCGTTTCGCCGATTCTCTGTTTAACCTTTCTCTTCTTTGCTCAGGAGTTTCACTAGCATATAACGAAAGTCTTTTCAGTCTTCTTCTTTCTGCCTCACGATCTAATCTTTTTCTTCTGTCTTCAGGCGTTTCGTTATACATTCTGTATTCTCGTTTCCTCGCTGCTTCTACATCTAATCTTTTTCTTCTTTGCTCGGGAGTTTCATAATACATTCTCATTTCTCGCCTCTTAGCTGCTTCTTTTGCTAGTCTCTGCTGGCGTTGTTCTTCGCTTTCTTGTTCATATAATTTTTTTCTCTTCTCCCTCATACACTCTGCTTTTCTCCTCAGCTTCTCTTTGTAATCCTGTAATGAGTTTGATCTTAACTTCAGTTGTTTCCTAGATCTCTCAGGCGTACTTTCTTTGGTTTTCAAGTTATTATTATTTTCTGGTATCCGATCTTTCTGCTTTGTTAATAGCGTTATCGTAGCGTCAATGTCGGTAGAAATGTTTGCTTTCTCCTTGGTATTTTTAGAAACTTTCAATCGGAGATCGCTTTCAGCACTTACGCTGCATAACCATTCAGTAGCATAAACCGTTTCTTGATCTAATTCATTTTCTTTTTTTATGTTAAGATTCAATCCTAGAAGTTCACTCGGTATAGTAACAGTTGAAACACTGTAATTAGTTGTTTGTGGCTGTTCATTTTGATCGATAAAAACTTCAGCAATTTGATCTGTAGGCTTCTGTATCTCTATATTTATATTTTCATAGTCCAAATTTTGCAGATACACTGATCCATTTAATATACCATTAATGTTACAGTTTTCATTTTGATGAACTACATTTAATGTAGAGTTTAAACTGTTTGTATGTTGTCTACAATTTTTATTATTTACATTTGATTCTTTATTGCTGTTAATTGCAGTACATTCTTTACTTTCCTTGATTTCAATAGCACAGAAATCTTGAGCTGCATTGATTATTTCAACATCATTGAAATCTGTTTCGTGTTCATCGTTCTCTTGTTTAATGTACACAGGGATTAAGTTAATGGAACGATCTCTTATTTGTACATTAGTTTCAGTCAATTCCATGACCTTATGATCCAATAATTAGCAGATGCTAAAATTATAGAAAGCATATACATTAAAATGAAAGTGTAAATACTAATTTGAAAAAGATTAAAGGGGGTAGTTGAAATTATATTTATTTAATTTCTATAAAACTATTAAACATATACTAATTGTTAAAAGATTGAACAGGACAAAAATGTCAAATAGTAAATAAATTTTACCTGTCTATCGTCTGCTTATGACAGCTGATCTTAAAAGACGATGCTGCGAGCCTTTAGAACAGAATCATTTTTGCTGCAATGTGCAGACTTTCAGCCGTTATCTTTCTCTTGTATGTCACATGTTAACGCAGTGTGATCGACAAATTGAATCGTTAACCATGAATTCAATTTCTTAGCTTTCGCCGAAATTAATTTACACGTTGAGCTATTTGCTGCTCGTTTACCCACGTCGGTCGACATTAGGTTTGTTCGCATTGACTGCACTTACTGCACTTGCGCAAAAAGTAGAAACAATCATTGGTTCATTCTCGTAGTCTTGAAGTTTGGCTAATGTTTTTCGCATAGATCGTATAGATATCGAAACGAATTGGCCAATCGCTAAAAGCGATTAAAAAAAATAAAAAGAAGAAACGAAGATATTGAATAATGCAGTAGTGCGCATGCGCAGGTCAGTCATTTTTAGGCGCGCAGATTCAAAACAGTCGGTAATGCAGTAGTAGACGTTATCATCCAAGCTTTTATATTAATTCAGTATGTTAGTTAAAAAATTGTTTGAAATTTGATATTAATTTTTGTTTTAAGAATTCTCATGACTTATTCGTTGCACGATGACATATTGTTACCAATATTTCTTTCGTGTCACCAATAAAAATGTCATTACTTTTAGTGGTATCACAGCATTCGAACGCGTCTCCTCTTTATACGTGAATCTTACTTGAAATCGTTGGAGATGCGTATAGATGTGTCGCGGGGTGGTGTAGGCAACGGTTGAAGATGCTTTTTGTTTGTTGAGCCACTACGTGCTCTGATAATTAAGACATTTCCATTTAGAGTTGACGTCCGGTGATGCGCCAGGCGCACGTACCTACGTTTTCGGCGGGTCCAACATCAGAAAAACTTAATCCTCATGCATTGTGTGGATAATTAATGGTGTATGATCGAGAGCCTCATTCCAGGAACGATGGTAGAAAGAAAGAAACGATATGTATGTATCCACCGCGAGAAAGATTTATTAGTTTCGCGTAACAGCAAGATAACCGACGGCCGATACTCTGAGGCATTTAAGGAAATAATTGGGAACCTGTGTTTTCTGTATTGTGGCAAGGAGCTCGATGCTTCTTGATGTTCAATTAATCTTCGCTACCTTGATATCTGTCTATTTCAGTTTCCTTTTTTTTTTATGGGATTATAAATATTGATTATTAATATTGATTTACCTGTTAAGCTTACTTATAGAATTTAAAAATAATTTTCTCAAAGAAAACCGCTTGTCAGAAATGTTACGTTTAGCTGGAGGAGAATCTGAATTTAATAAGAAATTTTCAAAGATGTAAATTTTTAAGGAATCAAAGATAAATCATAGGGGACAAGCCTGGATATTGAATAACGTTAAAAGATCATCTCCTTGTCGGTTGTTTCTCGCGGATAATTGTGTTAGGTGATGGGTTACGATCCGTGAAATATAATTTACGAGGGGGCTCCCTGGATGGTTAGGCGAACGTGGTTACAGTGCCAAATTCGAATGCAGAACGAGTCACGACGGAATGTTGGCAGGTTCTTTTCATCCCGGCTTGACAAAATCATTAGGGGACTAAATCCAATAAAGGGGTCTGGGGACCCTGCCCATCCGGGGATCTTGTTGTAAGAAAACATTCTCGGTGAGGCGATCGGTTGCATCGTAATCGGCATCAATGTTATCTTTGCGCGTCGTAGCTCGATATTTCTTTGTAAAGGCATTAGCAACGTCTCATTCTTGCAAAATTATTGTATACAAAAATACACATATAAATTTTTATAAGAAAATTGATGAGATCGAAAAGAGATGTTTTGTAATTAAAAGGAAAAAGGAAAAATAATTATTAGAATACATATTTTAATAAAAATAATGAAATATCAAAATATGAGTATACAGATTTTAATTGCTTTTATTTACGTATGATACTAACACGAGAAAATCAAATTTAACGCGTGCAGTGATTCTGTTCGTGCCGTTCCTTTAACCTTCTTTTTGCGGTACAGTTCCCTATTAAATTAGCAAGATCAAAGTCTTAAATAATTTCCTGGCGTGTTTCTCATTCGATGCCACGCGTTCAAGGGAACCGGTTCTAATGATGCTTACAAAACATGCCAGCAAGTGAAGTGAAAGAAGTGTTCCTAAACACAATCGGCACTTCGTATCATTTCCTCTCCGCAACTGTTTTGCCGTCTTAATTAAATCGTTTCAGGTGTAACTTAATTAAGTTGCTATTTGTGGAATGTATAAATATTTCATTTTATAGAAGCGTACAGACTGGTTCAAAAGTCATAGGACATTAGATAATCATACATACAGCTTTAGTGATTGCAGATTTTTTCGGTTAAAAGTAAACGCAGGGGGAGGATCTTTCTATTGTTTTTCTTCAATTTTATAAAAATTTAGAGAGAATCTAACTCTTA